GGCATGTTACAAGAAACATGACAAAATTGCCTTCCTCATTGCTATAGTGACATGGAGCACTCACACTTAAAGGGTTGAGGATGTTGTTTCAAGAAGAGTTCCCTTTCCCCATCCAGAAGCAACTTCTTGGCTTTCCTCACATCCACTTCACTCTTGTTTTCATCGAAACGAGCTCGGAGCAAAACAGCTTGGTAACGAAAGATGTGTCTGTAACAAGAATTCATGTTTGGAGTAAGTGAATGTTATCATGGCTGCAGTCTGGAGGCAACAGTCCAGCTGTATTATCATGATTAGGGCAGACTCTCATTAACATTATTAGAGAGAAGGGGTGTTTAGTTTTACGCCGCTTTTAGCAACATCCATCAATATCACAGCAGGTGGACACCAGAAATGGACTTCATAAATTGTACCCCTGTGGGAATCTAAACCATGACCAGCAGAAACTTTAACCATTAAGCTACCGCACCACCCCAGTAACCATGGTAACATTGTCAAGGAGCAGACTAAAATCCTTTCAGGTCATCATGAAACAGCAAATGAGTGAATATGTTTTTACGCCACATTTAGCAATATTCCAGCAATATCACAACAGGAGACACCAGAAATGGACTTTACATGTGCACTCGTGAGGGGAATCTAACCAACATTGTCCGGGTGATGAGCAAACACTTCAACCGGTACGCTACCCCAACATCCCCTCATTTTGAAATAGCTGCAATAATGGCAAACAGGTACCGTGTCATGCTTGCTTTGGGAATCATTGTTTCAAACCATATTCAAGTGTTTTACATCCTGTGGTACATTGCTTATCACATGCCAATTGTCAAACAAAATATTCCTGATCATATAGGCCATGTTTAAACACTAATCTGCTATCAACAGGCATCATAGTCCTATACACAATGTGAGTGAGTGAGTTTAGTTCTACGCCGCACTCAGCAATATTCCAGCTATATGGCGGCGGTCTGTAAAGAATGGAGTCTGGACCAGACAATCCAGTGATCAACAGCATGAGCATCAATCTGCGCAATTGGGAACCGATGACATGTGTCCACCAAGCCAGCGAGCCTGACCCCCCCAATCCCGTTAGTCGCCCCCTACGACAAGCATGGGTTACTGAAGGTTCATTCTAACCCGTTCATACACGATGTGTCACTAGCAAGCAACTATCCTTTCTGGTGGCATGTAACACATTTCATTTTATGATGGAAGATGAACAGAACAATGTACTACAACAGGTACATACATGGTACACTGCAAACGACTTATGATTTTGGCAATTTATCCTCCCATATTTATCATATCTCCTTTCATACCCAGCATTCCTGCTCTAGGCTTTGCAAATTTTTCTCAACTCTCCTTTTCCGTTTTGATAAATAGTAACAAACATTTTTAGCCTGTTCTTACATTTTGACATGCACATACTGAAAAGAGCATAAATGACTGATGTTCATGATGTATAAAATACAACAACTAGGGACATGTATGTTTGCAATATTATCCAGTTATACCTCAGGAAACGTACATGTACAAAACAGGCAACATTATGTGCATGTATTTCAGCAACAGACAGACATTTTTAGGCCACTTTTAATATAATACATCATATTACAAACAGATGTCCTCAGATTTGTATGCGTGCATATCCTCGGGGATTTATGGGACGCGAATTCCTGCGTCCTATATGCATAAAAATTGACAACGGACGAAACAAATTTATCAACGCATCCACAGGGACGCAGAAAGAGTCCACATTTTTTTAAATTTCAATCAAGTAACAAGTTGTCACTAAGTCTACTACAAGCCGGGTTATGTTATGGTATCATTTGCAATTTAATTACTGTAACAATGTGATGAAAGTGATACACAATACAATAACATTAACTGAATTACAACAATATTACAACATAGTATTAATAATAACATTTAAGTGTCATTTTGTAGTCCATGACCCCCTGAAAATTACAAGTATGAATCAAGGTAAATCCCTGATATCCTGAATTCAGAACATAGTGTACCCATGTTTGCCTGCAAGATAGGCATTTGCGTTGTCATTGGCCTCTACAGACGGACTCCTTGTATCATGTGTATGTGACCAAATGTGTTTACCTTCACATGACAGCAAGGACAGGTCAACCTGGCACCATATTAATTATCCTGCCAATTAGTCTCAGGGACCACATGAACTGGGCTTTGGATCACCTTGGGTGGACCATTTTGAAAACAAATCTCTGAATCTCCTTAAATTTCACAGCTGATAAGAAGATGCTCACTGAAACCTTCACCTTGCTGATTTGTCTGCATGTGTATGTACAATTAAAATGTTTAGAACCACAAATACATGTACATGAAATTTTAGAAACAATTAACTTCTTTTCATAATCTCAATACCTGATGACCATTATTTTTCATGCAACCACAACCATTACTACTTCCTTCTTCTCATCTATGCTTTATGGTATAAACCTTGTATCATATAGGTGGGTAATAAACGTATCTCCAGTAGAGAGTTACTGGCGATCAATCACAGTTCTCCAACAAAGTTATCAACATTATTCTCTTCAATGCAAGTGGGAAATGTCCCAATGTAGCGCCACTTGCACTGATATTAGAAGGATGGAAAATATCTAGCCATCAAGCCATTCATTACTTCACAGCTAGAGTTGGAAATCGGAAACCAAATCCACTATCGATTATTGGAGGACTTGTGGTGAACGATTATCGATCATAATCGAAATACATATGTACAGCAGCATCAGACATTTTGTTTGCCCTCTCAACAACAAGCAGAATTAGCAATATATTTTCATATCTAACTTTCAAAGTGCAGTAATTTAACTTTCTACATACAAATTATTTGGTTTATATATACAACAAATATTTATCAGTATATCTCATTATGTAAAATATATTCATAGACAGGTTAACTTATAGTGATATTTACAGTAGTGATGAATATGAAACAATGAATACAATGCACATTGCTTTACACTGTTGAGAGCATGTTTGTTCATGAATATTCGTCAAATTTAATGGTTAGCTTACTTCATTCATGTGTGTTATACTAAAACAACAAAATTCTGATTAATCTGAAATATGTTTTATTTTTAATCCTTCTTTCAATCGATTTTCGATCATCGGAACACCACTATTCACAGCCCTTTTCCACTAACCTGCCTAAACCAAGGGGGTAAAAGATAGCCGAAGAGAGAAATCTTAATATTAAACCTGTGAGGGCCATATTCAATGAGAACAGGTGATGTTATTAGATAATAAATATTTCATTTCAAGTTCTTAACTTGGTGAATTGAATATAGGTAATAGCACCAGCAAGCCGTTCCTGGTACCATTAGGGCTAGGACGATTCACTGATACCAATGTTTAAGTTTGTTACAGCTATCGTATCGTCGACTGGTGTATCAATACAAAATGATACACAACAGTTTTCAAAAGATTATTATATTAAACATGTTAAAGTACTTATATAGAGAAGAATATGCAAGTTTTAGAAGTTTACAACTCAGGTGTATGTATCGTGATGCCATTAAAATATTGCAATACATATCGTATCATGACATAGTGTATCGTCCCAGCCCTAGGTACCATGTGTCCAAGTTGCAGGTACCCCAGCTATACCTTTACATCATGATCGGAAAATGGAAGGTTATCAGTGATTTTTTTTCTGAAATGTCTGCCAGATCGCTGTTGCCAGACAAAATGGTAGTCAGCTGTCAGTAGTTCAGCCAGCTAAACGTCGGGTTCCTACCATAGGAACTAGACGTTTAGCTGGCTGAACTAGCTGTCAGCTGACTGCAGTGAGATGATGATAGAATAATTTGACATTCTTCATTTATCAAGTCATTTGTCTGATTCAAAGGTGGCGATACCTTAATTGCCCACAGCATTTAGAATGGGATTTATGAATCTTGACTAGAGGACACTTTCGCGGCTCTTGACTAATCTTCATGAAACCTCAAATATTAGGTAGTTTGTTAAGGATTATAGTGCCATTTCCTATCGCTGTAGATATAACAAAATGTATCCTGGGTTACCAAGCGCTCCAATCAGCCACTGAAAAATATATTTGGTTTTGTTGTTAGCATTTTCTTCAGCCTAAATACTTCATTAGCAAACAGTAAACATGATTTGAACTGACCAAGAATAGCACGCCAAATATAATTAAGAAAAATGTGTTTAATTTCAAATAATGCGTTAGCAAACCAGTTCATTGATAAGTGTTTTTTTCAAATCTTTCTAAAATGTCCTCTTGCCCTTGGAAATGTATGGCGCGATCGCCATCAAAACAAACATCATCTTCCTAAAGTTCCATAGTAATTCCACCGAAAAGACTTTCTGTTTACCTTTGTTGATAGAAAGATTGCATTTGTCGACATCCTTCCTTGTACAATCGCCGCACGCGTTGCGCGTGCGACAAGACATTCGTCTGCATGTACGACATCTTGAGAGAGGCGCTTCCTGTCTCAGTAGGTCCGGGCTTCAATAAAAGTATTTACATAGTTGAAATTATAAATTATATCCAGTAGCCTATGTTGTCACATTAATTTCATGTATCAAGAATTATTTAGTATAGTACGTGAGAAATTATTCTGAAATTTTAGAAAATGGTTCTCGCACATTTTGGAGTCGAAATCGTTTAGTTTGAAAACATGTTCTCAACTGTAGCATAACACTCCTCGACGAGTTGTTAAACGCAAACGAAGATGGTTACATTGTGTTAGACCCGAATTAAACGTTCTTGGAAATACGCAGAAGTAGCAATCATGTTGATTATCCTGCACTGTGACACCAATCACACCATGAAATCTTTCCTCGAAAGTTTAAGGGGTGGTTTCTTCACGTTTTCGACCAATAAAATATTCACACAAACGCAGTCCATATTCCCATGTACTTGTGCAAGGACTCGGTTTTAGATGTATCTGATAGCGTCATACGCTGTTAAGAGTTTCAAGAGTGTGTGCGGAGCTAGTCGCGGGGAATTAGAAATCGCAAATACAAACAAACAGCGTGTATCGTCAGGCTTTTGCCTGCTCACATACCTACCTCGAGATGACATCACACAACTTAAAGAGAAACAGGTTGCCAGAAGAAGATTCTTCACGTTCGAAAAGAACTTTCAAAGATCTGATAAGTGAGAAAACGAAAATGGTGATAAGTTGATGTCAGAACGTTGAGGTCTGATCGGTTCGTTTATTATCATGATTATTTAAGGACAAACATTATTTATGAACAACTTCTTTATTCAATGTCAGGATAAGTATAAAGTATCAATTTTACTTAATAAATTACATTTGTACATTTTGTGATCTTAATTGTGTAGAAGATGAATATCTCTTCCTCTTAATTTGCCCATTCTATTGTGAGTTAAGAAAAAAAATGTCTGACTCCCAACATATTATTCTGTATATCCCGATAGGGTGAAATTTTCATTGTTAATGAGTACTGATGACAATGTTCTTATCCGTAAGTTGTCAACCTTTATCTATCAGGCATTGTCTCTAATAAATAAACATAATAATTCATAGAATGTATGTACTCATATTGTTATTTGATATGATATGGTATAATGTGGTGTGATATGATATGATATATGATAGATATGATACATGGTATGATATGATATGATGTACAATGTAATATGGTGTGTTATGATATGATGTGGTACAACAAAGTATGTGTAATGCGATGTTATATGATGTGATACATTTTGATGTGATATGACATATTGTGATGTGACTATTTTATTCTTTTCTATGATATTGTGTACTATGTTCTTGTATGCTATAGGCCTGTGGCCTTCAGTATGAATAAAGATTGATTGAATTGTGCACTCCATGTTGGCTTCAGTCTGGAGAAATCCTCATGTTATGTATGTTTACTAGTCATGATCAGTATGGTGTCTACACCTGATATTGTAGGGTCTCGTAACCATGGTGACAAGAGCTTGTCGGGAGATAGCCGAGAAGTTCTTCATCAAGCTGTGTTCCAACTAGTCAATCTTCACCAAAACACCCAGGCTATTATCAGTGAGGTGAGTAGTTGCTGTAAATTATTTAGTGAGTTCAGTTTGTTGTGAGCATGTTCGTTATATCCATCGATTCTAAATATTAAAATATACAGCTCATGGCCAGAAGCAAAGTCAGTTCAACTTTTCCATCAGTTCTTAATGAGCGTGCTTGTTATAAACAATGTTCACTCGTCACGCCGAAGACCCTGGTTCGATTCCCCAAAAGGGTGCATTGTGTGAAGCCCATTTCTGATGTCCCCGCCATGATATTGCTGGAATATTGCTAAAAGCGGTATAAAGTTCGCTCACTCGCTCACTTCACTCACTCACTCACCTTTGATTATATGTTTAAGTATCTCACAAATCCTGCTTGCCATTGTACAAAGCCACCTTAGTGATACAATTGTCACAAGTATATGTTAAGGTATGGAGTTACAAACAGCATCGCTAAGATCGCTTTGCACAACAGCAGCATGTTCCTTTGTGAAGCATTTACATGTGACATGGATCTCATTTGACTGAATGTCTAAGTTTCTGTCTTGGACAGCTGGCACTGGAAGACTGTATGTTCTGTTAGATGCACATCATTGCTAGTTCACACCATGAGGAAAGGAGCAGAGAACACAACTGCAGTACTAAATAAAAACGCACCCTGAATTATACAAGAGTTTGCCGAGGGTACTTGTAACAATAGGATGGAATGACTGACTGACTGACTGACTGACTGATTGAGTTTGGTTTTAAGCCGCTTTTAGCAATATTCCAGCTACATCACGGCGGGGGACACAAGAAATCGGCTTCACACATTGTACCCATGTGGGGATTCGAACCCGGGTCTTTGGCGTGACGAGCCAACGCTTTAACCATTAGGCTACCCCACCGCCCCAGGATGGCATGATGTTACTATGGATTATTCTAAGATGCCTAGCTGTTAGAACAATCGAAAAAAAAATACATTATCAGACAATAAAGGTATAGTTTTTTGATGACGTAACAATTGAATGACGTTATCCCGTCACTGCGCCATTCTAGTGTGCCCCCTCGTAATCGAACCATTTTACATTACGTCACAATGTAAGCGACGTCACGATGCATGTCAGTTGTCATCGCCTCGTACGGCCTCCTACAGTAAACTACACCGTTGCATCCAGTTTCTTGGTTTGCTGTTGCTTCACGCAGCTAACATCACTGGTGGAAACATTACGTTTATGTTTTACGACGGTTAAAATGTGTCATTTCGACTCACAAGTTTTCAGCTTACACGGTAACGCTCGTAATGTTTACATTCCCACAATGCAATTGTGGAATGTCGCTGACTACTCAACTTCCTCTGGATGTACTGATCTAAACTTACGCTGGTAGTAGAAATGCAACGTTCATATTGCCCCATATGGTTTACGTTAATGACAGATGTAATTAAAATAATTCAGAGAAGATATTTAATCCGAACGTAAACCGTCATCAAACTGTAATCATTTGTTTTTCTGGTAACGCTCGCCTTAACGAGGGGCAGACACATCAATAGAACAGCCGCCAGTTAGCCCTGTGCGAGGATTCTTAATTTAGGTCACCGACACCGTCGCTTGTTTTCTGCCTTAAATTAATCGTAATTATCTTTAGAAAGTATTAAATTTGGCATCTCAGAAAGAATACACTTCGCCCTACCACCATGTATAGTGTAATAAAACACACTTTCGCCCTGAACTATTATAGCGTTAAAGCACGAGGACGCAAGCATCCTCGTGCTTTAACTATAATAGTTCAGGGCAAAAGTGTGTTTTATTACACTATACATGGTGGTAGGGCGAAGTGTATTTCTTAATTGAAGATGGTGTGTATTATGTTCACTAGGCTCTGGAGAAGTCTTGTGTGAATGTCGATGAGGCAGCCAGCCAGGGAGGGGAGGACACAAGGGTGCTTCCTGCAGGTAGGTGGTCCTGTGGGTAGGTGGTCCTGACCTAGCCTATCATAGTGCTCACAGGCTTCCACACGTTTCGCAAGCCTGAAATGATACACTGTGAAATATGGTGATATAACTCAGAGATATGTTAATGTACTACAACATACTTCAAAGATGTACTCTATGGGATTTAATATGTCAACAAGAACATTAACTATTATGCATTATGAAACCATGGGAATCACATGAGATAGATTCAGTTTATAAAGATTGAGAAAGTTCTTTTACTTCTGAATCCATCAGTTAAGTTTCTGAATCATGCTTTGTCAATCCTGTCACTGAATACCTGTCAAGATCTGGGTTAGAATTGGTCTTCAGTAACCCATGCCTTTCGTAAGAGACACATGTCTTTGTGTCATGGTGTTGATCACTGGATTGTCTGGTCCAAACTCAATTATTTACAAACCGCTGCCATTTAGTTGGAATACTGCTGAGTGCGGCATTGAACAACAACCAACCAACCGTTGCTGAATCTTGAAAGTGTATGTCCAAACTAACAGCCTTTCACTGTGTATGGTAAATACTGACTGATGTTATGTTAGCTTCTTGTCATACATTTCCCCCCTGTTCAGTTTTGACGAGCCTGGGGCAGCTGGAGAGTCCTGCTGACCAGTCTGTGCCTCTCCTGATGACTGAGAAGTGTGTCCAGCGCCTGCTTCACTGTACTGGTCAAGGGGGGAACTTCCAAGGGGGTCAGTCCGAGAACGGTCAGGACACGGTAAGAGTTCCTGCTTATGATACTGTGGCAGGGTGTGGAGTCATCCCATGTGGACAAGCATCTGACTTCAGATCAGAAGGTCCATGGTTGAAATCCCAGTTCGGGACTTGGGAATATTTATGGCCGCTATATTGTGCCCAATTGCAACTAGGGGCTTAGCATGTTCATATCAAATTTGAGCAAAATAAGTGTCAGTATCTTCTTATGACGGGGGAGTATGTAGCAGGGTGTGGAGTATGTAGCAGGGCGTGGAGTATGTAGCAGGGTGTGGAGTATGTAGCAGGGCGTGGAGTATGTAGCAGGGCGTGGAGTATGTAGCAGGGCGTGGAGTATGTAGCAGGGCGTGGAGTATGTAGCGGGGCATGGAGGTATGCGGGCGTGGAGTATGTAGCGGGCGGAGTATGTAGCAGGGCGTGGAGTATGTAGCAGGGCGTGGAGTATGTAGCAGGGCGTGGAGTATGTAGCGGGGTGTGGAGTATGTAGCGGGGCGTGGAGTATGTAGCGGGGCGTGGAGTATGTAGCGGGGCGTGGAGTATGTAGCAGGGCATGGGCATGGAGTATGTAGCAGGGCATGGGCATGGAGTATGTAGCAGGGCATGGGCATGGAGTATGTAGCAGGGTGTGGAGTCATCACATAGATGACATCCTTACCTTGTCACCTTGTCAACAAGTCGTCGGACTTTGGATCATAAGGTCCGTGGTTCAAATTCCAGCATACGGCTCTGAAATTTATGACCACTACAACACCATGTGGACCCATGTCTTGTAACTTGCTGATTCCTTATCTGACTCAGGAAAGATTTGATCAGTGCCAATATTTTCAGTGTCTTTTCACAGGTTCTATGATGTATCATTAATGTTTTAGCAGGGATTGTTGTTTATTACATCAGTCACTGGTTTGTCTGGTCCTTACTTATTTACCAACTGCCTTCATAACATGATAATTTTTTACCTTATCCTGCATTACTCCTTAATGCATTTACTGCTTTCCTTTGACAAGACGAAGCTGTACGATGGAATCATCGAAGAGAAGTTCCAACTAAGCGAGCCGCCATACTGCCATCGCACTGTGCCCACGTGACCTGGAAAGTGCTGGCGTCACGTATCTTCACATTACTGCTTGTTACCAGCCTGGAAGGCCGTGTGTGTTTTTGATGGGATTTAAATTTCGACTTTACACATTTTTTCTGTGTTTTCTTTTGTCGATTTTTCCTTTTGGGTAGTTTCTTCAAGAAACGGTTTGTGACTATTTATTTGAAGAGAAGTGTAATTGTGTATTTCCCTGGTCTGCACATTATTTATTTGATTCATGTTTATATCGTGCGTCTGATTGTTCCATTTAACCATGTTGCATTCATGCTCATGTTCCACCCTCTTATGCTACTTTACCAATGTTCTGTTTATATACTATAATATTAGTTACTAAATGTATTTGTAACTTATTTAGTATATTGTTACAAGCATGTAGTTTTCCCTTAACCATGTTTTTGGTAGGCGGGAAATAAATTGGTTGTCTCTTTATTTGTGTGGGTTTTTCTTACACACTTTATTGGTTTTGGGCTTCTGCTTATGTTGCAGATTTATGCCACGTTGTATTGCCTGCTATGGCAGCAAGTCAACCGGAGACCCCCATCCGAGGTGTTTATACTGTACTCGGCAGTGTTCCCTGACATCCAAGTGTGCTCTTTGCCTCAGACTTTCTCCCACAGCTTTCAATAAGTATTTTCGTGTTTCTAGGAAGCTACTCACGCAACAAGCTTACAGATGCAGGATGTCTGCTTCTCAAGACTCTGTTATCTCCCCAGCTGCTATGGAGGTACGTGGTTACATCTCTACTAGAGAAGCAAGCCATAAAAGTCATGGATCCAGCCCACATCACACCAGGGTTCTACTCCCCAGTTTTTCTAGTGCCCAAGAAAAACTCCAAAGAAAAGTTCCGACTTATCTACAATATTCAACAGACGTCAACCCCATCAACTACGGTGATGTTTGGTTATCTAGTGATTTGTCGACACTGCCTGCCACTTCAGTGGCGTCTTCGTCTTCAACGGCTCCGACCATCTACTTGTCCGTCTGTGATGACAGCATCAGCGCCTGTGGCGCCGCCTAGCCTTCCTGCCGACCAGTGTGTGCCTCCGGCGCCATACATGGATCCAGTTTGGATGCAGTCCTTTTTACAGTCTATGTTTAAACAGAGGATGGCGCCTTCGGTGGTCCCTCTGTTTACTCAACAGTCGGCGTTCCCTTACCTCCAAGTACAGCGTTTGCAGCGCCTCTCCCGACGGTGACTCCTCATGCGCACACGGCACCTCTGCTGTCTACTGCACAGTCTGCACCACCTTTACCTGCTGCACCACTGGTACTCCCGGCGCCTCCTTCATCTGTGTCTTCTCCGACTCCGTCAACACTTGTGGCTTCTGTTACGGCTCCGGCGTGTGTGGCGCTCACAACTACCTGATCAGTCTCGACTTGCAGGAGGCGTATTTGCATGTGCCAAACCACCCCAACGACAGGCGTCCTCTGGTTTATTTTCAATGGTATCCATTACCAACGGGCAGTACTCCTGTTTGGAATTTCTTCGGCCCCTTGGCTTTTCACATGAATAACCAAGCCAATAGCAGCCTATCTACACCAGAGGAACATTCCATTCGAGTCTTACATCGACGACTGTCTCCTCAATCAGCAGGACCCGTCAACTGTCCTTCACAGGGATTTCACCAGACGCCTGCTTCATCAGCTGGGATGGATCGTCAACGAGCAGAAGTCGGAACTTACTCCCTCTTGCACGCTACAGTTCATAGGGGGATTGACACATCTGAACCTCTTATCCGTTCCAAGGGACCGCTGGCTCAAGATTCTGCAGCATATTTATCCAGCTCTCCATCAGTCTCGTACTCTTCGCCAGTGGCAAGTACTTCTGGGGTTACTGAAGTCAGCTCAGGATTTGACAACCAGAGGTCGCCTTCAGCTACGTCCGATCCAAATTTTCCTATCCCCATTCATCAGGCGCCAGGATCAGTCGGTCTCCATAACACTACCGTTTCACCTAGATGTACCTACGGTGGTGGACTATAGAGTCAAACGTCTTAAGAGGCGTATCCTTGACCGAGCTAACACCCACTCTATGCCTGTTCGTAGACTTGTCTCTCCAGGGCTGGGGAGCCCATCTCGAGGGAGAGGTCGTCTCAGGGCGGTGGTCCACCGATCTAAGCCAGTGGCATATCAACAATCTGGAGTTGGAGGCAGTCATTCTGGCCGTGTCTCATTGGCAGTCGCGCCTTCAGCATGCCATACTGATCATATCGACGGACAACACCACGGTGGTCTGGTGTTTTCGAAACCAGGGAATGACTCATTCTCCATCCCTGTTGCATCAGGCATTTCGATTTTTTCATCTTGTCGATCGCCTGGACTTGGAAGTTCATCGTCCAGCATATTCCGGGTTGCAGAAACATTCTTGCGGTCTACCTTTCCAGACCAGACAGGATAGCACCCACGGAATGGAAGCTACACCCGGAGGCGTTCAACATCGTTTGTCGCCTTCTCGGCCATCCCAACATAGACTTGTTTGCCACCAGTCAGAACTTCCAGATCCGAACCTACATATCTCCGTTTCCGGATCCACAAGCGTGGGCGGTGGACGCTCTCAGCGTTCCTTGGGAAAGCCTATGTACGTACGTTTTTCCACCACCGGTACTTTTACCCAGTGTCCTTCCAAAGGTCAGAGCGACTCATCACCTCTCTCTGATTTTGATCGCGCCTTGGTGGCCAACGAAGAGTTGGTTCATGGATTTAAGAAAGCTCGTCACCCATGATCTTCTAAAGCTGCCAGAATGGCCAAATCTGCTGATACACCCACACAGCAGGCTTCCACGCCCGGGCTCCAGGTGAGTTTCGTCTGCACGTCTGGTACATTTGCAAAGGGCTTTAAGTGCCAAGGGCTGTTCAGCTAGAGCTGCGAGGGCCATAACTTTAGCACACAGACCCTCAACTCGAGGTTTATGTGACGACAAATGGAGATCTTTTGAGAGGTTTTTGCAAGGACAAACACCAGGATCTGGTTACTGCATCACCTCAATTCTTGGCTGAATTTCTTCTGTTTCTGCGTAATCACTGACACCTCAGGGGGAAGTAGCATTACGACGTATTTGGTAGCAATGAATTCGGTGTTGGCTGTTCCAGAGGACAGAAAGATGACCCAAGATTCCAGAATTGCAAGCTTTGTTGCGTTCTTTCCGTCTAGAGGACCAGAAGGCCAAATTTAGGCCGTCTGCTTGGGACCTGAACGTGGTGCTTCGTTTTGTTGCGGGAGGCGCCTTTCGAACCAGCTCACGCCACATGTTTTTACAACCTCACCAAGAAGACATTTCTTCTCCTTGCATTGGCCACAGCAACTAGGGTGAGTGAGCTGCATGCTTTCGATGTCACCCGTTTTCGATTTGAACGGACCCCACATTGAGCCGTCCACCTGGCACTGTGCTGGGACTTCATTGCAAAAAAACACCAAGGGACAGCTCGACAGATCTTTCACGATTCCACATCTCTCTTCGATTGTGGGATCTGAGGATGACGCAGAACTTCATTTATGCCCGGTTCGTGCACTTCGGTGTTTTCTTCGTCGGTCTTAGGCTCATTGTGGTGCGAGGAAACAGCTCTTTATTCCAAGGCAGAAGTTAGTAATAACACTTTGGCATTATGGTTGCGAGCCACCATTCTCCAGGCTTATGAAGCCGCCGACTTGGACCCTCCTCGGGCTAACAACCCTCCACGATGGCTCTCCACAGTAATTGTTTCATTAGATCCATCATGGAAGGAGGCTTTTGGAAATCCGATACAGTTTTTGCCAGTCTCTACTTGAGGGACGTGGCACTGGAAGATGTAGAGGGCATACACAGTTTTGGTCCCCTGGTGGTGGCACAGCAGGTTACAAATCCCAATCGCCATTAACTCCACGGCAGTCCTCAGTGAGCCTTGTGACTCTCTTGGTGTACGTCACCCTAGACAAGCAGGTTACATGCTGTTTGCATTCGCTCAGTAGGTCAGTTTCAGATTGTAGGGTTGGCTTCTCTTTTACTGCCATCCTACCTGCGCTACCTCCCCACTATGGTTTTCTTCAGATGTTACAATCCAGCAATAATGTGAAGATATGTCAGCACTTTCCGGGTCACGTGTGCGCAGTGCGATGGCAGTATGGCGGCTTGCTTAGTTGGAACAACTTCTCTTCGATGATTCAATCGCACAGCTTCGTCTTGTCAAAGGAAAGCAGGAAATGCATTAAGGAGTAATGCAGGATAATTATACAAATATAAAAAATATCTAGATTTTACCAGAATTTTTTGGTTTTATTGAGTGTGGTGGGGTAGCCTTGAGGAATTAGCGTTCACTCGTCACGCCAAAGGTCTGGTTTCGATTCCCAACATGGGTACAATGTGTGAAGCCCATTTCTGGTGTGATACTACTGGAATATTGCTAAAAGCAGCGTAAAGCCATACTGACTCGGTGTTTGTTTAGTGTTTAAGCAGTATTGCAGCTGTATGACAACTGTCTGTAAATAACTGTCTGTGAGGCAATCCAGCGATTGACATTATGAGCATCGAGTGAGTGAGTGAGTTTAGTTTTACGCTGCACTCAGCAATATTCCAGCTATATGGTGGCGGTCTGTAAATAATCGAGTCTGGACCAGACAATCCAGTGATCAACATGTGTCAACCAAGTCAGCAAGTCTGACCACCTGATCCTGTTAGTCGCCTCTTACGACAAGCATGGGTTACTTAAGGTTCATTCTAACCCAGACCTTCACGGGTCATGAGCATCAATATTTTCATTTGGGATGATATGACATGCATAGAGTCTGACCACCCTGTACTGCTAATTTCCTCATACGACAGACATGGGTTGCTGAAGACCCATTCTAACTTGAATCTTATGAACTAGAATTGGTCCCGAGCAGCCAAGGCCAGTCTTACGAGGAAGCCAACTGGATAGGTTTATCAAACTTGGTTGAGTCTGTGTCCTTATGCCCCCAAACATGGACCATTGCTCACATGTCAGTCACTGGATTGTCTTGTCCTTGCTTCATTTTATATAGGCTGTCCTCATGAAGGTGCAAGTAGCTGTGAGTGGCATTAAGCAACAAGTACAGGTATCTATAACTAGTGTGTCACGTTTACCTGTATATCTGTCAGAATGAGAACCTCCGCACCTGTGTACAGATGATACACCAGCTACTGACAGACAACCAACTCCAGCATCGTCACTTCACCAGTCTCCTCACTACGGAGGTTAGTCCCTGACTAAAAGTAATGTTTTCACTTTTGAACCCCCCCCCGATTCAGTGTGAATTTAACCCTCACATTCTTTCTACATTTGTTTATCAGCAATATTAGGCACAAGAAAATACCCAAGTCTACTGCAATTGACAGTTAAAATGCTATAGTTGAACTGATACTTTTGTATTCCTCAGAATGTATGAAAATACAAACATTTAAAGAAAAATATTTGGATCGTATCACAAATTGTTTTCCCAATCTGCCTGCCAATGAATTTTCTCAATTAAGCCATGCATGATTTTAACCATTAGGAGATCTTGTCAGCAAATAAATTATGTTCAGAAACTGCTGCAGACACAATGATCTGATTAGGAATAAAAAATGTACGAATAATGTTTGAATTTCTTTCAGGATGTTCTTCCTCCAGAATTACTATGGTGCCTTCATGGTGAAGACATCTTGGGACTCAGTACTTATATCACCAGGTTGGTAATATCTGGTTCATGGCGATACGGGTGTCTGTCATGGGCATATATCTATTACAAGTTAATGCAGCAGCATAGTTTTCCAATATATATTCTATTGCTTTTCTGTCCCACAATGTAGCTATCCTTGTATTGACCCTCATCATTCAGCAAACAGGTTCAATATGAGTTCATGAATAATAACAATCAAAAGTATTTTTTCATCAATGTAAGTGTTAGGACCCCAATTTTTGCCTAGAGTCGTTTGTTTATATGTTACCATGGTTACCATAATATATGTGTAGTAAGACTGAGGCATAAAACAACATACATTCACCAGTAGTATTTCATGTGTAATTTTATACTTCCAAGAGAGAAATTGTTCAGGATCACAGTGATTTTTAGTTTTTTAGTGCCAAATTGTTATTCTTGCAGGAAGATGACCGAGCCCCAGTTTGTGAGAAAGTTTAGTGCAAACATGTACAAACTGTGTAAGCAAAACAACTCGGAGACAAATGCTGCTCTTTCTGGTAGGTACAGTGTTTCAGGAGAATAACATTCATTGTTTCATTGTATCCCAGTGGACTAGCACTATAAAACCAGCTAAAGTCTGGGCTTGTACAAGCAGCCACATGCATGACGTCGTCATATGAGCGAAATATTCTCAAGGACGATGTTAAACTCCATTTCACCTCACCTCACCTCACCTCATTGTTTCAGTATACCCCTCTCATCTTATTCCCTTTTGAATTGTGATGTGTTGGTTTTAATGCTTATAAATATGTATCTAGTGTGATTGCTATTGTGAGCTTCTAGTTCTAGTCTGATACTGTTTCACGAATCAATATATTCCAGGAATATTCAGCTTCCTCATCAACTCAGGCTTTCCAGAGAAGAAGGCCAAGGAAGCCATGTTCCGGAAAGTAAGTATACAGCATCGTGTCCCAGAGAAGAAACAGACACAGGTGCTCCATACAGTCTTGTCTTGCTGACCAGAGTTATGTCCCCTATGACTACAGGATATGCTGCAATTTGGGTCTCCAGATCTGCTTGATTATGATCCATGGTCTGCCTGGACTGAACTTATTGTGTGGAGCTCACAAGAGGTGTAGTGATATCAATCGTGTTTTTCTTAAAACTCTCCTCCCAGACTGCGCCATCTCCCTGTGATGTAACTGTAATACACTGAATAGAGGTACAATGGGGTAGCCTAGTGGTTAAAGTGTTTACTCTGCGCACTTAGGACCTGGATTTGATTCCCAACATTGGTTCAGTGAGTGTCTCCCACCATGATATTGGTTAAACAGTGCTTGAAATGATGTAAAACCAGATGCCTGCACTATTGAAAGTATTATCAAACACAACAGAGGCTCGTTAGGGTGTTCTATATACAGTGGACTCTGCCAATACCGGCCTCTGTAAACACCGGCACTCTGTCTACATCGGCACAAAGTTTCAGTCCCGGCAGAAATGCACGTTATTATCATTTAGAAACTTCTGTAAACATCGGCATCTGTCTATTCAGGATATCGGCATTGTTTTTCAGTCCCAACGAACGAGTTGTTATGAAAACGAATCTGTAAAAACCGGCACATGAAAGACGGCGTAACCCTTTGATGCAATTAGGTCCAAATGATGTAACAACACAATTCGCTGTGACTCCCGAGATTATTCAGAAACGGGAAGTGTTAATCAGTATCTTGTTAAACAGTGAGTGGTACGTCACACTTACCCTGAGTAATTAATACATGTAGTGGGCAGTTTGACTGTATAAACAAGCAAGTGTTTACATTTTGTTGATTCATGGGTATTGACTCGAGATTATTCAGAAAGCGGGGAAGTGTCAATCAGTTTCTTGTTAATTAGTGAGTGGCACGTGTCACTTACATAGAGGCTTAATCGTTTGATGGCGGGTATTGAGAAAGCTCTGAACATCAACAATATCACTGTACTCTTGCCGGGAGTATTTTCACAGTTGTAAGAAGCGATTTTATTGGATAAAGATTGGTTTCTAACGACGCTTTTCACTACACTCTGCTTATAAGGGTCGTGATTGGTCAAAATCAGACACGTGACCTAAGCAGCCAATCATATTATGGAAATGGATACCGTCCTCGTAAACGAAAACTTTTAGATTAAGGTTTTGGGTAAAATAATGCTATTCTGAACATATTAAGAAAGACATCGCTACCTATACGTAAATTATGGAACCTATTGGACATATCGTGCTAGGTTATGGCCTATGACAAAAATGCTTCATGCATATATTTTCACATTAAGCATCGTGTCCGGGCGTCAAGACGGAGGCGGTGAAAGCCGAGATGTAACTTGTCAGTGACTTGACTTACATTGCATGATCGCACAAAAGTATGGAAATAGTAATTTTATATGTACGTTTGACAACTTTTTTGAATGTTATTGTTGATTTCAATTTATTTAATGATTTCCTCGATGTTTGAAACATCGTTACTTTGCTCTTTGACAATGCTATTGTAGACCCGCTGCCGAATCATAAACAAGAATCGTTGTTTTCAATAACATTGCGAAAAATAGTTTATAATTTTAATTCTGCCGATAATATATGATCAGTTGAAATTTAATAAGAGATTACAGACATTTTTATTTGATTTAAACAACATGAATGTGCATTCAGACACTGCCTTGTTTCTTATTCAAATATCTTGTTAATGCTAAAGTGACAGTACGACAGCGAACTTCCGTGTGCGCAGGCGTCATAAGCGAACCTAGCTAAACCGGCACTCTGTCAAAACCGGCATTTTTATTTGGTCCCGACTGATGCCGGTATTGACAGAGTACACTGTATACACTCTTTTATCACTGGCTGCAGAAAATCATATGGCAGTTAAGAATGTCCACATTGTTGTGGAATGGATTTGTTTGGTTCATGTATACCATTACAGCCTATAAAGCAACTCCTGACCGATAAAGCAACTCCTGACCATCTTCATTTGAGAACTGTATAAATCTTTATAAATACAATCCATAGAAGTGCAATTTAATTGCTTTGTAGCTGTTTCCAAAAACATTTTTTATGAATGTTTTTACTATATGTTTGCCCAAACACAAATGTAACGTGTATGATTTTAATAAACGTATCGCTGCCAGTCAATATTCATATTGCCCAGAGCCCTTATAAGAGCAAAATTTGGTATGCTAACTTGCAAACAGACCCCTATATCAGAGACCATAAACTGTATATGGTCTCTGCCTATATTCATGGTAATACAAGTTTATAAGGTTACCATGGTTACCATTTGTTGCAGGTTTCTGCTGCTGTTCTGGATGACATCATCAGAGGTCAGTACCTACATTGGCTGGGAGAATGTTTTGGTCAGTGGTATCAATGTCTGCAGACTAGTAATCTAATCTGGGTGCCATTGTACACAATGATCTTAGTGCTAAGGTGATCGTAGCTACCATACCATAACATAGACTAATTACTGGCATAGCGCTAAGGTGATCGTAACTCCCATACCATAACATAGACTCACAACTGGCGTAGCACTAGGGTGATCGTAACTCCCATACCATAACATAGACTTACGACTGGCTGTAGCACTAAGGTGATTGTAACTCCCATACCATAACATACTCACGACTGGCGTAGCACTGAGGTGATCGTAACTCCCATACCATAACATACTCACGACTGGCGTAGCGCTGAGGTGATTGTAACTCCCATACCATAACATACTCACGACTGGCGTAGCACTAAGGTGATCGTAACTCCCATACCATAACATAGACTCATTACTGGCATAGCACTAAGGTGATCGTAACTCCCATACCATAACATAGACTTGCAACTGGCGTAGCGCTGAGGGTGCTTTGTACGACATCGTGGTGAAAATGAAATGAGCAGGTCACTCAAAATTTGCTACACTCTGTTCCTCCTTTGACCTAAAGATGTCCGCTGGATCTTTTGCTGCATTTTGAAAGATTTTTGCACCAAAACCCTCAATCACTAAACAGGGTATAAGAAGTGATGGTAACACCTTATAGAAATAGGATGAAGAAATTGCTTATGAAACCAGGTCCACAAACACCTAATGAACCCACAACTGACATGAGTGTAAACTAGAGAGTGTTTTAAAATTGACATGCTTGTGAACAAGAGATGAAATAAATTAAAGGCACTGGTCCTGTCTTCCGTGCAAATCTTAAAGACTTCAGAGCATTTGAACACTTTCAAAGTTTTTGATATGTTCAACTTCCTACCTTGTGAGCACCCCTAGATATGGCTGGTTAGTTATGGTTTGCATATACATAGTAATCATACTGAAGTGGGGTTTGTTTCTTACATATTTTCACATTAAAAAATCAGTCTAAAGTACAAGCTATGGGAAATATACTTGCCTGTGAGTGAAAGCATGGATTGTTCACAGTCTGGGACATGACATTTCAGCTGTACTAGACAGAGATGATGAGCATCTAGTTTCGTTTGTTGGACTGACTTATATCGAAGACACCCTGAACCAAGTCAGCTTCAAGAAGTTCTGTACCCACACCCTCTCCCTTCTCATGAGCTACAGACCAAGTTTGAAAGGTGAGTCAAACTTGCTTATAATTAGCCCTTATTATTAGCCACAGCACAGATTTTAATGTGAAACACTGTAAACCCTTTTGATAAGCCACAGCACAGTATGAAATGTGAAACATTTACTATAAACCCTTCTGATTAGCCACAGCACAGATTGTAATGTGAAACACTGTAAACCCTTTTGATTAGCCACAGCACAGTATGAAATGTGAAACAATTACTATTAACCCTTCTGATCAGCCACAGCACAGTATGAAATGTGAAACAATTACTATAACCCTTCTGATTAGCCACAGCACAGTATGAAATGTGAAACAATTACTATAAACCCTTCTGATTTGCCACAGCACAATATGAAATGTGAAACAATTACTATTAACCCTTCTGATTAGCCACAGCACAATATGAAATGTGAAACAATTACTATTAACCCTTCTGATTAGCCACAGCACAATATGAAATGTGAAACAATTACTATTAACCCTTTTGATTAGCCACAGCACAATATGAAATGTGAAACAATTACTATTAACCCTTCTGATTAGCCACAGCACAATATGAAATGTGAAACAATTACTATTAACCCTTCTGATTAGCCACAGCACAATATGAAATGTGAAACAATTACTATTAACCCTTCTGATTAGCCACACCACAGTATGAAATGTGAGACGTGTGCTGTAGTTCCCTTTAGATGTCGTCATGGTTAACTGTAAGTTGTGCTTATTCTTTTCAGTTTCTCAAGCATTTAAACAACAAACTCAGTGGAAATCTGCCAAAGTGTCAGAAAAGATTTCAGATCTATACAAACAGGTACTGTTTCATATTCATCCCCTCATTTTGCTCAGATGTGTTTCTTGTGGTTCATAGCTGAGTCATTCTCAAAAGTTGCAGCTATTTGGTGTACAAAAGACAACATAATTGAAATACAAAATCATCAATCTTTATTTTCACAACTGGCAAGATACGTTGTTAAGTTTCACATATTGTGGATATTTCTGTTGTTACAGGAAAGACATTGTGTCTTCATCCTAATTAGTTTAATTAGTCTTCATAAATATATGGCAAATAATTCAGCCTCAAATACTATTGTTTTTCTTAAGAATACATTGACATGAAAATAAATTGTATTGTAAAATCTGCCTTATGTGTTACTTTGTTACTCACACTTTAAAAATCAGTTCTAAAATTGTATTTTTATGAAATAAACCTGTCTAGACTGGGTCAGATGAAAAAGTGAAATCTGTGAGTACTTTGCAATACTCTTGATATTATTTCAACTGTCTCCCCTCAAAAATTATTGCCCTGAAGGTGACTTGAGGAGAACATTTTGATATTTCTGAGTGATTTCTGGCAATGTCTTACTCTTTAGATGATAAAACATTTGCCTTTAGTCCCGTTGTATGAAAGACAGTATCGTTGTGCCAAATACACCCTATGTTATTGGAAAGAAAATATACCATATATATTTGAAAAACTATTTAATTCTAGCAAATATCTTTGATCTATCTGTAAGGAAAGGAATAGTTTTTGCCTGTTACTCTCAGTTGTATAGTAAGTATTACATCTTATATTTATATCTCCAGATAAGGTGAGTAACAGTGACATGTTTGTTACAGAGAAGACAATTCAACCGTATATTTGAGTTAGGATAAGAATACATCTATGTTAGTGATGATAAGATAGGTTCACATTAATCAGTTTGTTTTTACCATACTTGAAGTGCAAAATATATAGTCTATATTTTGGAACTTAACCTATTTGTTACCCCAAAGACATGTCAGTGTTACTGGAAAGACATTTCAGAACAACTTGATGGAAGACAAAGAAATAATTTTGGTGTTAAAATTTTTGAGCTTTGAATAAACAACAATAAAAGTAGCAGTTACCATTTTGAAATTTGTTTTCTAGGAATTCAGAAACTCATTTAACAACAAGTAATTGTCATGAATTTATCAAACTGTCAAACAGGTTTGCAACTAACAAAAGTACACATGATGTTAGGTTTTTGCACCTGGATACATGACAAAATGCATGTCCCTTGTTACAAAAAGGAAAAAAATAAACATTATTTGGTCCTTTTGTTTGTGATAAAAGTTCCCATGTAAGATTAGATATTGGCAATGAAGGAGAAATCAGATTTTTAACACATTGATAAAATTTGACAGTTTTATTGAGGTTTTAATCCTGATATGGGAAAAAGCTGCATCTTTTGAGAATGACTCAGCTGAGGATTTTTGTATTGTATGATGCTTCTAAACTTTGAATTAGGACAAATCATCTCACCTCAAACTTGAGGACACATTGCCATAATCTCTGACCATGCAGAACTTGTTCACTGTACAACCAGTACATGTGTACCATCTGTATGTTGTATGACCTGTATGCTGTATGACCTGTACACTGTATGACATGTACACTGTATGACATGTACACTGTATGACCCAAACACTGTATGACTTGTACACTGTATGACCTGTAAAATGTATCTGACCTGTATCCTGTATGACCAGTATGTTGTATGACCCATTCAGGATATGACCTGCACACTGTATGACCTGTAAACTGTATGACCCATTCAGGATATGACCTGCACACCGTATGACCTGTAAACTGTATGACCCGTTCAGGATATGACCTGTAAACTGTATGACCCATTCAGGATATGACCTGCACACTGTATGACCTGTAAACTGTATGACCCGTTCAGGATATGACCTGTAAACTGTATGACCCATTCAGGATATGACCTGCACACCGTATGACCTGTAAACTGTATGACCCGTTCAGGATATATGACTGTATGACCTATTCAGGATACCTGTACAAACTGTATGACCCATTCAGGATATGACCTGTACACATGACCTAAACACTGTATATGACCTGTACACTGTATGACCTGTAAACTGTATGACCCATTCAGGATATGACCTGCACACTGTATGACCTGTAAACTGTATGACCCGTTCAGGATATGACCTGTAAACTGTATGACCCATTCAGGATATGACCTGCACACTGTATGACCTGTAAACTGTATGACCCGTTCAGGATATGACCTGTAAACTGTATGACCCATTCAGGATATGACCTGCACACTGTATGACCTGTAAACTGTATGACCCGTTCAGGATATGACCTGTAAACTGTATGACCCATTCAGGATATGACCTGCACACTGTATGACCTGTAAACTGTATGACCCATTCAGGATATGACCTGCACACCGTATGACCTGTAAACTGTATGACCCGTTCAGGATATGACCTGTAAACTGTATGACCCATTCAGGATATGACCTGCACACTGTATGACCTGTAAACTGTATGACCCATTCAGGATATGACCTGCACACCGTATGACCTGTAAACTGTATGACCCATTCAGGATATGACCTGCACACTGTATGACCTGTAAACTGTATGACCCATTCAGGATATGACCTGTAAACTGTATGACCCATTCAGGATATGACATGTATGCTTCATGACCCGTACAGTATATGACCTGTATGCTCTATGATCTGTACATTATATGACCTGTACCGTGTATGCTATATGACCTGTATGCTGTATCTGAGCTGTATGACCATACAGTATATGACCTGTGCATTGTATGACCTGTATGCTACATTACCTATATGCTGTATGACCTGTACAGCATATGATGTACTGTGTATGCTGCATACTGTATCTGACCTGTATGCTGTATCTGACCTGTATGGCTGTATCTGACCTGTATGATGTATTTGACCTGTATGCTATATCTGACCTGTATGCTGTATCTGACCTGTATGCTGAATGGCTGTATGTGACCTGTATGGTTGTATGGCCTGTATGTTGTATCTGACCTGTGTGCTGTATCTGACCTGTATGCTATATCTGACCTGTATGCTGAATGGCTGTATGCTGTATCTGACCTGTATGCTGGATGGCTGTATGTGACCTGTATGCTGTATTTGACCTGTATGCTATATCTGACCTGTATGCTGTATCTGACCTGTATGTTGTATCTGACCTGTATGTTGTGTATGACCTGTATGCTGTATCTGACCTGTATGCTGTATCTGACCTGTATGCTGTATCTGACCTGTATGTTGTATCTGACCTGTATGTTGTATCTGACCTGTATGTTGTATCTGACCTGTATGCTGTATCTGACCTGTATGCTGTATCTGACCTGTATGCTGAATGGCTGTATGTGACCTGTATGGTTGTATGACCTGTATGCTGTATCTGACCTGTATGTTGTATCTCACCTGTATGCTGAATGGCTGTATCTGACCTGTTTGTTGTATCTCACCTGTATGCTGTATCCGACCTGTATGCTGTATTTGACCTGTATGCTGTATCTGACCTGTATGTTGTATCTGACCTGTATGCTGTATCTGACCTGTATTCTGAATGGCTGTATGTGACCTGTATGCTGTATCTGACCTGTATGCTGAATGGCTGTATGTGACCTGTATGGTTGTATGACCTGTATGCTGTATCTGACCTGTATGTTGTATCTGACCTGTCTGCTGTATCTGACCTGTATGCTGTATCTGACCTGTATGTTGTATCTGACCTGTATGCTGTATGTGACCTGTATGCTGTATGTGACCTGTATGCTGTAACTGACCTGTATGCTGTATCTGACCTGTATGTTGTATCTGACCTGTATGCTGTATCTGACCTCACCTGTATGCTGTATCTGACCTGTATGCTGTATATGACCTGTCTGCTGTATCCGACCTGTATGTTGTATCTGACCTGTATGCTGTATCTGACCTGTATTCTGAATGGCTGTATGTGACCTGTATGCTCTATCTGACCTGTATGCTGAATGGCTGTATGTGACCTGTATGGTTGTATGACCTGTATGCTGTATCTGACCTGTATGTTGTATCTCACCTGTATGCTGAATGGCTGTATCTGACCTGTTTGTTGTATCTGACCCGTATGCTGTATCTGACCTGTATGCTGTATTTGAACTGTATGTTGTATCTGACCTGTATGCTGTATCTGACCTGTATGTTGTATCTGACCTGTATGCTGTATCTGACCTGTATGCTGTATCTGACCTCACCTGTATGCTGTATGTGACCTGTATGCTGTATCTGACCTCTATGGCTGTATGTGACCTGTATGGTTGTATGACCTGTATGCTATATCTGTCCTGTAAGCTGTATCTAACCTGTATGCTGTATCTTACCTGTATGCTATATCTGACCTGTATGCTGTATGCGACATGTATGCTGCAGAGGCCCAGATAAGCTGCGTATCCGGGTAAAATACGCATAGAAAATTTCCAATTACGCATTGAAAAGTAATTGTTGCGTACCAATTACGTATTTAAAATGTTAGATACGCAAAAAGTTTAAAATAAATGCGTACAGAACATATTTATAAAAATCTCTTGCGTAATGAAAAAGATTGCTATCAAGTTGTATTGTTAGTATAGGACTAGTGTTGCACTGTCAGTACAGGATGAGTGATTTTTATGAAATGATTTCCATTATATTTAAGTTGGTTTTGATTTGGTATGACAAAAGGCAGAACATACCTGCTTAGTAAACTTACTCAATGATATAATATTTAGGTGAGTAAAATGACTGAAATACGCACATATTTGAAAGCAGTGGGTAACGGAAAATGAAATACCCACTCAACATTCATAATATCCACTCCCAAAAAATACAGTGGGTACAGTACCCACATGAGCTAAATCTTATCTGGAGCTCTGTATGCTGTATGTGACATGTATGCTGTATCAACCTGTATGGCTGTATATAACCTGTATGCTGTATCTGACCTGTACGTTGTATCTGACCTGTATACAGCATGACCCGTACAGCATATGACCTGTACTATGTGTGCTGTATGACTGTAGGACCTGTATGCTGTATCTGACCTGCACAGTGTATCATATGTATGCTGTTTGGTCTGTAAACTGTATGATCTGTATGCAGTATCTGACCTGTATGCAGTATGACCCGTACAGCATGTGACCTGTTCTCTGTGTGCTGTATGACTGTATGACCTGTAGGCTGTACATTATATTACCTGTACAGTGTATGACCCATACATAATATGACATACAGCATACAGGGAACATGTCATACAGTGTACAGGTCATCCACCATACAAGTCATACAGTGTACAGGTAATATAATGTACACTCTGAATGTACGTTATATTAGTTGTACACTGTATGACCCATACAGTATCACCTGTAACTTAGAGTGTTTGCAGTGAATGCAAAAAAGAAAGAGCCTCTCAAACGAGTTCTGTCCTTTGAAATGCTCCAGTGCTCCAAGTCAGGTGGAAGAACTTGTGACAAAGAAACAGTAATCTGAAGCTGTGATGCCTTAGTGTGTGATGGGCATACATCAATACACACAGTTTTTCCCAGAAATTATTGAGAAAATCTTTGTTTGCTAATACTGAAAATAGAATTTTAAAATAGGTGTTACATTATGTAGTAAGGTACTCAAGATGGGAGGCAACTCTTGTGGGCTTAAGAATAGACCTTACTACATCAAGAGTTATCTCCCCTGGTGTAGCAGATGGCTTCCATTGTTGACATGGCAGATTTGACAGCAGAAGAGAAAAGAAAGCTGGTTCTAGATGGTATTGAATGGGGTGTGACTGATGGAAAAGAGCTAGCTGATAGACATGACATTCCTCTGTCAAGAGTATGCAGAACTGTGAAGAATATTCAGTCAGGAGTTGTGATTGAGCACAAGACAGGGACAGGGAGGCCAAGGAAGTTCAGAACTACAGATCACCGGCGACTTGGCCAGATTGTGATTGGGGCCAAACTGAAAAACGTTGAGAATATCAGAAATTACATGATTAATGGAGGAAGTCCTCAGGTATGTAATGAAACCCCTAGACAAGAATAACAAAGACTTAACTGGATGAAAAAGCTTGGAATTCCCTCACCATTGATAAAAGATGCACCCAAAGAAAGACGTTTAAACTGGGGTAGGGCTCACAAAAGTCAAGTCTGGGATAATGTTTTCTTTTCTGATGAAAGTTCTGTCTGGCTTTTTCTGAAGTGTGAACATTTGGACAAAGGATACCGTGAAACCTATCTACCAACGCCCAAAATGTCACGTGTGGGGTGGGATATCATCACATGGAGTGATGCCGTTGTGTATTGTCACTGAAAACTTGTCGAAGGAACGATATGTTGACATCTTAAATGATCACCTCCTTCAAACGACCCAAACACTGTATGAAGATAATTGGATTTTCAAAACACACTTCAGGCTACACAAGTGGTTGTCAGACGAAATGTTCAAGTTTTGGACTGGTCCCAGCCACAGCGCAGATCTTAACCCTTTTGAGAATGTGTGGGGACTAATAAATGACAGAATAAACCCAAAAGGAGGATAAGAAGAAAGAAGTGCTCGAATATTGGAATACGCTGTCACACGATTTCCTACCAACTCTGATCGGTAGTGTACCTAGGCACATTCAGTGGTGTATTGCTGGGCAAGGTGTCTCACAAAGTACTGAAAAGACAGACTTTAAGAGTTTCATATCTCAACATATTCATTTCAGTAAAACTTCTATAGTTTATATTGTATTAGAGTATTTGCTTTGAAACAACTTTCTCAATAATTTCTGGGAATACAATACACCCATCTATCCACATAGACAGGACTTCTTCCAGAGACATGGCAAGTATTCTTTCTGACATGGAGTTTACAACTGCACCACACTTCTAGTGGATGATGTCCAGCAGATACAGATTGTCTTTGATAATTATATGTATGACAGCATCAAAGGTCAGTCCCGTTCAAAGATGTACTCTGGGTCAAAACAAAGCCAACTTGACACAGTAGTGAGTGTATGAGTGTATGATGGGCTCCAGAGATACTAGAGGAAGGCAGACGTCATGTGTCAGTGGCGGCCAGGATGTAAAATCTATATCTTTCCAAGGTGCAGCAGAGGTTGACTTCCTATTCTCTAACCAGGAAGAAAGAGATGCGTGGACAATACCCCATGCAGCAGCTGCCCCGGAAGATGGTGCTTATCCCTAATGTCTGTGTCCTGCTGATACACAAACATCAGCACTGTAAATATAGGAAGTTGTCTTCCTGACAGGTTGTGAGATGGGAAATACATCAAGCTGACCTGCTACATCCCTGTGCACTAGGGCTGAGACAGGTAACCCGTATACTGGGGACGAGTGGCTAATGAGTTGGACCCGAGTACCGTCTCAATACGCAGATCTGTTATGATCATGTGTGACTAATAGATTAAACAATGTAATATGTTATTCTTTCATGATTAAAGGGTTGTATTGTCTTTGAAGATTTAGTAATAATTTACAGTCACCTGCTTTGAATATAATACATGGTTAAGATACTGGAAAACTCGAAATTTTAGCCTCCGAGCTGAAGAGTATATTGCCGTTTCTTACAACCTGTATCAGGGTAGGGTAGGATAATAGGAGGTGGGGTACCCAGGTAGGATATTTGGACCCAGCCCAGCCCTACTGTGCACATGTACAATACATGATCTGCTCAACATGACTCAACAGAAAAATGTGACACTACCAGCTCCTTTTTTTTTGAGATTGAAGTCATACTGCCCCTCAACTAATGATGCAGAAAGGCTGATCAGTTGCAACCTTACTCTGTTAGGTTGTCATAAACTAGTTATCCCACAAGAAGTAGCCCAGGCAGCCATGAAGTGTTTGCGAACTCTATAATACAAGGAAAACTGTGCTTCAATAAAATTACTTTTCTGTGAAAAGACAGGCAAGAACATTCAGGGGCAAACCTTCCATCAACTGATGATGCCTTCTGCCTGCATCTCTTCTGTTTCAGTTTCTGGTATAGAAGAAAGCAGTTGTACCCACAGCAATGTATGGCCTGTACCCTGTATGATGTGAATACTGTATCTTACCTGTACCCTGTATGACGTGAATGCTGTATATTACGTGAATGCTGTATCTGACCTGTATGATGTGAATGCTGTATCTTACCTGTACCCTGTATGACGTGAATGCTGTATCTTACCTGTACCCTGTATGATGTGAATGCTGTATCTGACCTGTACCCTGTATGATGTGAATGCTGTATCTTACCTGTACCCTGTATGATGTGAATGCTGTATCTGACCTGTACCCTGTATGATGTGAATGCTGTATCTTACCTGTACCCTGTATGATGTGAATGCTGTATCTTACCTGTACCCTGTATGACGTGAATGCTGTATCTTACCTGTACCCTGTATGATGTGAATGCTGTATCTGACCTGTACCCTGTATGATGTGAATGCTGTATCTAACCTGTACCCTGTATGATGTGAATGCTGTATCTGACCTGTACCCTGTATGATGTGAATGCTGTATCTGACCTGTACCCTGTATGATGTGAATACTGTATCTTACCTGTACCCTGTATGATGTGAATGCTGTATCTAACCTGTACCCTGTATGACGTGAATGTATCTGACCTGTATATTACCTGTATCTGACCTGTATGACGTGAATGCTGTATCTAACCTGTATGATATGAATGATGTATCTAACCTGTACCCTGTATGACGTGAATACTGTATCTTACCTGTACCCTGTATGACGTGAATGCTGTATCTTACCTGTACCCTGTATGACGTGAATGCTGTATCTTACCTGTACCCTGTATGACGTGAATGCTGTATCTAACCTGTACCCTGTATGACATTTTCATTGAATGTCATGTTCTTTGTATGACCTGTACTGTATGGTGTAAAACTGTATGGTATGTACACTGTTTGACCTGTACACTGATTCAAATGTTCTTTGTATGGCCTGCAGCTGTTTCTGCCGTTTGAGTCGAAGGAGATCCTGGAGGTCTTACAGAGGATCCTGGAGAGACAGGAGGTGAACTGGCAGACCGTGCTGTCCTTCATAGCAACCTTCCTCGTGTGCTTCCCTGACGCCTCCAGACTCCTGCAGGGTAAGATCCCAGTTGATGATACTAAGTTTTGGCCATACTGAGAATTGTAAGCTGTATGCAGGAGTATTTTTATCACTCATTTTGACAAGAACACATGAAGTATAAATATGAAGAGCCGTTGGGCGACGCAAGAAGTTTTGACTCTGTGTGTCATCATATCCTGGCAGCAGAATCATTGACGTCAACCTTGTGATGTGATTTTGAAAGAACCTGCTCACATGATGATATATCCTATATCCAAAACCCCCTGAGTATATGCACTTACATATATGTATTTTTATATTTTGTTCATCCTCCTGCAGACCCGTGAAGATCCAGGTAAGAATTGATGTTCAGTAATCAAACCTTGTCGTAAGAGGCGACTAAGGTCAGGTGGTCAGGCTCACTGACTTGGTTGACTCATCGTATCCCAATAACATGATAGATGCTCATGCTGTTGATCACTGGATTGTCTGGTCCAGACTGGATTGTTAGCAGACCGCTGCCATATAGCTGGAATATTGCTGAGTGCAGCGTTAAACATAACTCACTCACTCACTCATGCTCCTGCAGGTCACATCCACAGCCTGCTGTCGGAAGGGTTGGAGAATGCTGACATGGAGAGCACTATCATTGCCTTCCTGCTGGCCAGACAAAGCTGTCTGGAGGGTCTCCATGTCTTTCCACACTACCAGGACTGGTTCCAGGTAGGATTGTTTGATTGTTGCATAGTTACCTGTCTGCTCTTGTCAGCCCTTGTCCAACCACCTCAATACAAAGGTAGCCTTGTTTGGTTGTTGCCATAGCTACATATCTTCTCTTCTCAGCCTCCATCCCATCCCAGTACAAGGTAGCCTTGTTTGGTTGTTGCCATAGTTACATGTCTTCTCTTCTCAACCCCCATCCCTCCATCCCAGTACAAGGTAGCCTTGTTTGGTTGTTGCCATAGCTACATGTCTTCTCTTCTCAACCCCCATCCCTCCATCCCAGTACAAGGTAGCCTTGTGTGGTTGTTGCCATAGTTACATGTCTTCTCTTCTCAACCCCATCCCAGTACAAGGTAGCCTTGTGTGGTTGTTGCCATAGTTACATGTCTTCTCTTCTCAACCCCCATCCCAGTACAAGGTAGCCTTGTGTGGTTGTTGCCATAGTTACATGTCTTCTCTTCTCAACCCCCATCCCTCCATCCCAGTACAAGATAGCCTTGTGTGGTTGTTGCCATAGCAACATGTCTTCTCTTCCAAACACAGGGCGGTGGGGTAGCCTAGTGTTTAAAGCATTCGCTTGTCATGCCGAAGACCCAGGTTTAATTCTCTACATGGGTACAATGTGTGAAGCCCATTTCTGGTGTCCCTCACCATGATATTGCTGGAATATTGCTAAAGCGGCGTTAAACTAAACCTGCTCACTCACTCACTCTTCTCAACCCCCTTCCCCCATCCCATAGTGAATATTTGTTGGATTGTTGCCGTAATTAAATGTCTTTCTGACTATAGTGATGTTGACTGAAGAGGTAAAGTTTCCACTTGCCTCACTGATTTATATCTTCTTTTATTTTCAGCAAACATTTGGTGATTCAAGCAAAAGCCCTGCTTCCACCAAAAAATCATTTAGTTTCCTGATGAAGTTCCTGACAAACATTGTGCCCTATGAGTCTGCCCCACACCTCAAAGTAAGACAACATGGCTGTCAGTGGTAATGGAACTATTCTACATTCAAGAAATTATTCTGTCTACATTTGTCAAACTTTCAATATTTATTCATGAGCCCTGTTTTTGCCGTTATTAATCAATGACCAGGACCTGACAGTTTCCTTCTGTGAATCTGTTACAACCTGCTACGGTGTGTGGAAATTATAAGTGTACTTGGTGAGTGTTGTTGGGAAGTTTGAGTTTTGTGGCCCCTAAATCTAAAGGTTTTTGATATGGAGTGGTTATAAGTTTAAGACATGGGCTTAGATTGGCCTGAGGACTGCATCATATATTGCTGCCCTTTCCCTTCCCCACCTCAATTTGATGTAACATTTCTATGTTTCGACCCCCCTCTAACCCCACATGTAGCCCCCATTTCTCCCCTCACTGGCCCTTTCTCTCATTACAGACCCATGAAGGTCCAGGTTAGAATATTGGCTCTCAGTAACCCATGCTTGTCGTAAGAGGCGACTAATGGGATCAGGTGGTCAGGCTCGCTGACTTGGTTGACACATGTCATCGGTTTCCAATTGTGCAGATCGATGCTTAGGTTGTTGATCACTGGATTGTCTGGTCCAGACTTGATTATTTACAGACCGCCGCCATATAGCTGGAATATTGCTGAGTGCTGCGTCAAACTCAACTCACTCACTCCTCTCCCCTACAGTATAAACAGATTAACACATGACTTGTGTCATAGACTTGTGTTTCTGACTGTTGTGTTTTTGTCGACAAGGTCCATATTCTCAGGCCACCACATGTACCAGCAAAATGTCGGCCATTCCTCACCGAGTACATCACACTTGCCAAAACAAGACTAGCGGACCTGAAGGTGAGTTGTTAGTTGATGCCAGGGACAACCCTTGAAGATGTATTAGTCAGGATACACAAAGATTATGTATGAGTGTATTGTGATGCTCGGATGTAACGTGATGAAGATGACGACATGACCATGTCGTGTTTGTGTGAGAGTCATTTACCCGCCATGTTTTCTAATTTACAGGAATCATGTGAGATCAGTGGAGGAATATATGACAACAGTTCCAGCAACTCCACCAGCAGCAAGCAGGTGTGTATGCCATCGCTTGAAACGCGATGAACAAAGTTGTGTCCCCCAGTTAACCGGATCTGACACATACATATTATATTAGAAACTTGTGTACAGAGTTGTGTCCCCTGGCTATCAGGATCTGACACATACATATTAGAAACTTGATGTACGTGTGGAGTTGTGTCCCTAGCTATCAGGATCTGACACATACATGTTAGAACTTGTGTACAGAGTTGTGTCCCCTAGCTATCAGGATCTGACACATACATGTTAGAACTTGTGTACAGAGTTGTGTCCCCTGGCTATCAGGATCTGACACATACATATTAGAAACTTGTGTACAGAGTTGTGTCCCCTGGCTATCAGGTTCTGACACATACATGTTAGAACTTGTGTACAGAGTTGTGTACCCTGGCTATCAGGATCTGACACATACATGTTAGAAACTTGATGTACAGAGTTGTGTCCCCTAGCTATCAGGATCTGACACATACATGTTAGAAACTTGTGAACAGAGTTGTGTCCCCTGGCTATCAGGATCTGACACATACATGTTAGAACTTGTGTACAGAGTTGTGTCCCCTAGCTATCAGGTTCTGACACATACATGTTAGAACTTGTGTACAGAGTTGTGTCCCCTAGCTATCAGGATCTGACACATACATATTAGAACTTGTGTACAGAGTTGTGTCCCCTAGCTATCAGGTTCTGACACATACATACATGTTAGAACTTGTGTACAGAGTTGTGTCCCCTAGCTATCAGGATCTGACACATACATGTTAGAACTTGTGTACAGAGTTGTGTCCCCTAGCTATCAGGTTCTGACACATACATGTTAGAACTTGTGTACAGAGTTGTGTCCCCTAGCTATCAGGATCTGACACATACATGTTAGAACTTATGTGTACAGAGTTGTGTCCCCTAGCTATCAGGATCTGACACATACATGTTAGAACTTGTGTACAGAGTTGTGTCCCCTGGCTATCAGGATCTGACACATACATGTTAGAACTTGTGTACAGAGTTGTGTCCCCTGGCTATCAGGATCTGACACATACATATTAGAAACTTGTGTACAGAGTTGTGTCCCCTGGCTATCAGGATCTGACACATACATGTTAGAACTTGTGTACAGAGTTGTGTCCCCTGGCTATCAGGGATCTGACACACATACATGTTAGAACTTGTGTACAGAGTTGTGTCCCCTAGCTATCAGGATCTGACACATACATATTAGAAACTTGTGAACAGAGTTGTGTCCCCTGGCTATCAGGATCTGACACATACATGTTAGAACTTGTGTACAGAGTTGTGTCCCTGGCTATCAGGATCTGACACATACATGTTAGAACTTGTGTACAGAGTTGTGTCCCCTAGCTATCAGGATCTGACACATACATGTTAGAACTTGTACAGAGTTGTGTCCCCTGGCTATCAGGATCTGACACATACATGTTAGAACTCCCTGTGTACAGAGTTGTGTCCCCTAGCTATCAGGATCTGACACATACATATTAGAAACTTGTGAACAGAGTTGTGTCCCCTGGCTATCAGGATCTGACACATACATGTTAGAACTTGTGTACAGAGTTGTGTGCCCTGGCTATCAGGATCTGACACATACATGTTAGAACTTGTGTACAGAGTTGTGTCCCCTAGCTATCAGGATCTGACACATACATGTTAGAACTTGTGTACAGAGTTGTGTCCCCTGGCTATCAGGATCTGACACACACATACATGTTAGAACTTGTGTACAGAGTTGTGTCCCCTAGCTATCAGGATCTGACACATACATGTTAGAACTTGTGTACAGAGTTGTGTCCCCTGGCTATCAGGTTCTGACACATACATGTTAGAACTTGTGTACAGAGTTGTGTCCCCTGGCTATCAGGATCTGACACATACATGTTAGAAGAACTTGTGAACAGAGTTGTGTCCCCTAGCTATCAGGATCTGACACATACATACAATTAGAAACTTGTGAACAGAGTTGTGTCCCTGGCTATCAGGATCTGACACATACATATTAGAAACTTTGTGTACAGAGTTGTGTCCCCTGGCTATCAGGATCTGACACATACATGTTAGAAACTTGATGTACAGAGTTGTGTCCCCTAGCTATCAGGATCTGACACATACATGTTAGAACTTGTGTACAGAGTTGTGTCCCCTAGCTATCAGGATCTGACACATACATATTAGAAACTTGATGTACAGAGTTGTGTCCCCTGGCTATCAGGATCTGACACATACATGTTAGAACTTGTGAACAGAGTTGTGTCCCCTAGCTATCAGGATCTGACACATACATGTTAGAACTTGTGTACAGAGTTGTGTCCCCTGGCTATCAGGATCTGACACATACATGTTAGAAACTTGTGTACAGAGTTGTGTCCCCTGGCTATCAGGGATCTGACACATACATATTAGAAACTTGATGTACAGAGTTGTGTCCCCTGGCTATCAGGATCTGACACATACATGTTAGAACTTGTGTACAGAGTTGTGTCCCCTGGCTATCAGGTTCTGACACATACATATTAGAAACTTGTGTACAGAGTTGTGTCCCCTGGCTATCAGGATCTGACACATACATATTAGAACTTGTGTACAGAGTTGTGTCCCCTGGCTATCAGGATCTGACACATACATGTTAGAACTTGTGTACAGAGTTGTGTCCCTGGCTATCAGGATCTGACACATACATGTTAGAACTTGTGTACAGAGTTGTGTCCCCTGGCTATCAGGATCTGACACATACATATTAGAACTTGTGTACAGAGTTGTGTCCCCTGGCTATCAGGATCTGACACATACATGTTAGAACTTGTGTACAGAGTTGTGTCCCCTGGCTATCAGGATCTGACACATACATATTAGAAACTTGTGTACAGAGTTGTGTCCCCTGGCTATCAGGATCTGACACATACATGTTAGAACTTGTGAACAGAGTTGTGTCCCCTGGCTATCAGGATCTGACACATACATATTAGAAACTTGATGTACAGAGTTGTGTCCCCAAGCTATCAGGATCTGACATACATATTAGAAGCTTGATGTACAGAGTTGTGTCCCCTAGCTATCAGGATCTGACACATACATGTTAGAACTTGTGTACAGAGTTGTGTCCCCTAGCTATCAGGATCTGACACATACATGTTAGAACTTGTGTACAGAGTTGTGTCCCCTGGCTATCAGGATCTGACACATACATGTTAGAACTTGTGAACAGAGTTGTGTCCCCTGGCTATCAGGTTCTGACACATACATATTAGAAACTTGTGTACAGAGTTGTGTCCCCTGGCTATCAGGATCTGACACATACATATTAGAAACTTGTGTACAGAGTTGTGTCCCCTGGCTATCAGGATCTGACACATACATATTAGAAACTTGATGTACAGAGTTGTGTCCCCTAGCTATCAGGATCTGACACATACATGTTAGAACTTGTGTACAGAGTTGTGTCCCCTAGCTATCAGGATCTGACACATACATGTTAGAACTTGTGTACAGAGTTGTGTCCCCTAGCTATCAGGATCTGACACATACATGTTAGAACTTGTGTACAGAGTTGTGTCCCCTAGCTATCAGGATCTGACACATACATATTAGAAACTTGTGAACAGAGTTAGAGTTGTGTCCCCTGGCTATCAGGATCTGACACATACATGTTAGAACTTGATGTGTACAGAGTTGTGTGCCCTGGCTATCAGGATCTGACACATACATGTTAGAACTTGATGTACAGAGTTGTGTCCCCTAGCTATCAGGATCTGACACATACATGTTAGAACTTGTGTACAGAGTTGTGTCCCCTGGCTATCAGGATCTGACACATACATGTTAGAACTTGTGTACAGAGTTGTGTCCCCTAGCTATCAGGACACATACATACATGTTAGAACTTGTGTACAGAGTTGTGTCCCCTGGCTATCAGGTTCTGACACATACATGTTAGAACTTGATGTGTACAGAGTTGTGTCCCCTGGCTATCAGGATCTGACACATACATGTTAGAACTTGTGAACAGAGTTGTGTCCCCTAGCTATCAGGATCTGACACATACATATTAGCTTGATGTGAACAGAGTTGTGTCCCCTGGCTATCAGGATCTGACACATACATATTAGAAGCTTGATGTACAGAGTTGTGTCCCCTGGCTATCAGGATCTGACACACATACATGTTAGAAACTTGATGTACAGAGTTGTGTCCCCTAGCTATCAGGATCTGACACATACATGTTAGAACTTGTGTACAGAGTTGTGTCCCCTAGCTATCAGGATCTGACACATACATATATTAGAAACTTGATGTACAGAGTTGTGTCCCCTGGCTATCAGGATCTGACACATACATACAAGTTGATGTGCGTGTAGAGAGTTGTGTCCCCTAGCTATCAGGATCTGACACATACATGTTAGAACTTGTGTACAGAGTTGTGTCCCTGGCTATCAGGATCTGACACATACATGCTAGAAACTTGATGTACAGTTGTGTCCCCTAGCTATCAGGATCTGACACATACATACAAGCTTGATGTGCGAGTAGAGTTGTGTCCCCTAGCTATCAGGATCTGACACATACATACAAGCTTGATGTGCCGTGTAGAGTTGTGTCCCCTAGCTATCAGGGTCTGACACATACATACAAACTTGTGTACAGAGTTGTGTCCCCTGGCTATCAGGATCTGACACACATACAGCTTAGAACTTGTGTACAGAGTTGTGTCCCCTGGCTATCAGGATCTGACATACATACATGTTAGAACTTGTGTACAGAGTTGTGTCCCCTGGCTATCAGGATCTGATTGTCCTCTGGCTACATACATATTAGAACTTGATGTACAGAGTAGAGTTGTGTCCCCTGGCTATCAGGATCTGACACATACATGTTAGAACTTGCTATGTACAGAGTTGTGTCCCCTGGCTATCAGGATCTGACACATACATATTAGAAACTTGATGTTACAGAGTTGTGTCCCCTGGCTATCAGGATCTGACACATACATGTTAGAACTTGTGAACAGAGTTGTGTCCCCTGGCTATCAGGATCTGACACATACATATTAGAAGCTTGTGTACAGAGTTGTGTCCCCTAGCTATCAGGATCTGACACATACATTAGAAGCTTGATGTGTACAGAGTTGTGTCCCCTAGCTATCAGGATCTGACACATACAAGCTTGATTAGAACTTGTGTACAGAGTTGTGTCCCTAGCTATCAGGATCTGACACATACATACAAGCTAGAACTTGTGTACAGAGTTGTGTCCCCTGGCTATCAGGATCTGACACATACATGTTAGAATGTGAACAGAGTTGTGTCCCCTGGCTATCAGGATCTGACACATACATATTAGCTTGAACTTGTGTACAGAGTTGTGTCCCTGGCTATCAGGATCTGACACATACATATTAGAAACGATTGTGTACAGAGTTGTGTCCCCTAGCTATCAGGATCTGACACATATATACAAGCTTGATGTGCCGTGTAGAGTTGTGTCCCCTAGCTATCAGGATCTGACACATACATGCTAGAAGTTGCGTGTAGAGTTGTGTCCCCTAGCTATCAGGATCTGACACATACATACAAGCTTAGAAACTTGTGTGCAGAGTTGTGTCCCCTAGCTATCAGGATCTGACACATACATACAAGCTTGATGTGCCGTGTAGAGTTGTGTCCCCTAGCTATCAGGGTCTGACACATACATACAAGCTTGATGTGCCGTGTAGAGTTGTGTCCCCTAGCTATCAGGGTCTGACGTTGGTTCAGGACACATTTGGAACTCACAAGAAACAAGGAGAGCTGACCTTAAATAATTCTACTAATCAAGAAGATTTTATTATTTTCCTTTTACTGCTTACATACGGTTATATTCCAGTGTTTGATTAGACGTTTGTTGAAGTATTACAGATGAACATTGAGGTGATAATGGCTTCTGTTCCTTATACAGGCAGACCCAGTGGAGGCTGATGTAGAAAGATCCCTGTCAGCCTTCCAGGCCACCGGCAAAGTACCAACCACAGTCATGGAAGCTAGGTTAGACATCCCAATTGTGTAGATTGATGCTCATGATGTTGATCTCTGGATTATCTGGTCCACACTCGATTATTTACAGACCGCCACCATATAGCTGAAATATTGCTGAGTGGGTCATAAAACACCAACCAAACCATGATGAGAATTTATGTTCTGCAGCCAGTACACATGCACTTAGAGGTGACAGTCATGTTAAAGTCAACACCTACTGGGTACCCATATACTGCAGTCACTCAAAGACACCTTACAACACCGCTCACCACTGCCTGTATTGTGGGATAAGACCATGAAATTTCATGTCCTTGATTGTAGCTACTAGCCAATTTCCAAGTGATGTCACATTTGTATTGTCTTGTGAGATCAACTTATAAAAGCCAATGCTGTAACATTAAAGCTATGAAATCATTCAAGCGGACAAATTTGTGTTTTGCTTGTGTTGAGTTTTCAACACAAGCTTATTGAATAATTATAATCTTTTGGAGGCCCATAACCTCAGTCCTCTATAACTGATGACAATACACACTGTCAGGAAATTGTTACCTGTGTTATCAGACACTCCTGTATTCATGTATTCTTTTTCTAATGCTGTAAACCGCCTCCGTGGTGTAGTGGTTAGAGCGTCCGCCCGGAGAGCGGAAGGTCGCGGGTTCGATCCCCGATCGCGTCATACCAAAAGACGTTAAAATATGGTACTTGTTGGTCCCTGCCTGGCGCTCGGCATTATTGGGTACAACAAGGACTGGTCGGCTCGGAGTCAGTATAATGTGTCTGAGTGGGGTATTCATGCTTCACTGCGGCATGATATCTCAGTGGGCTACCACTATAAAACCAGCTTAAGTCTGGGCCAGTACAAGCACACATACACATACACACGCATGCACGTCGTCATATGAGCAAAATATTCTCAAGTACGACGTTAAACCCAATTTCACCTCACCTCACCTCTAATGCTGTATTATCTCCATATTACAGCATCTTCAGGAAGCCCTACTTTGTTGGAAAGTATCTGCGATCGCTGCTGAAACCCAGACATGTAAGATGATACGTAAAGAAGGTAACATGGTCCTATCACTAGATTCTGGTCTCTGTATGCTCCACTTACTGTGCCTCAGTCATGGAGGTTGATGGAGAGGTGATATTTCTGCAACACCCATACTTCACTGCATTTCTCTTCAAGGAATACATACAACTGCTTCTACATGATAATAATACTAGCAATAATGTTGTCTTTTTTCACTACCTAAATGCTCATGTGGCTCCATTAGTTTTACCCAGTCGATGGATCAGTGAGCACTCATTCTTTCTCAGCTCCTTGGAGAGTACTCAATCCAAGCTGCCTTCGTGTTACCAAGTCATACTACCGGGTACCCATTCACTGCTGGGTGAAGCGACATAACCACATTTGCTTTCAGTTGATGCAGGACAGGACACAACCCCTTGGAAGTGAAGGTTTAGTTCTTGCTTGAAGGTTTAGTTCTTGCTTGAATCAAGTTATTACTTCATTCAGTCTTTGAAATGAAAAGCTAGACCATTGCTGGTACATTGATATTGCTGGAATATTGCTAAAAGGCTCCTAAAAATAAACTCACTTACTCACTCACTTATGTTACTGCTGTCTGCTTCAGCTGCCAGACAAGCCTGACATCCGGATGAAGATGATCGCATCACTGAGGAAGGCTGACAAGATACCAGCATCCATGTACACCAAGTACCAAGAAGCCTGCCGCACAGAGTCCAAGCAACTGTTGGAAGGTCATTCAATCTTCTGTTTTGTTTGGTTGGTATTTAACGCTGCACTCAGCAATATTCCAGCTATATGGCAGCGGTCTGTAAATAATCGAATAATGACCCAGACGATCCAGTGATCAGCATGAGCATTGATTGGGATTCGATGACATGTGTCAACCAAGTCAGCGATTGGTTGCCTGACAGGCCCGAATCCCGAAACAAACTTAAGTTCTTACTCACAACACGCATTGGTTGCTGAAGACCAGTTCTAACCCAGTTCTTCAAAACTGGTGGAATGTATATAAACAATTAAAGTTAAAAGATAAACCAATGGATAACAAACCAACACATGGAATATAAAGCAGTGTTTGATCAACAGTGAAATGCCATGGCTAAGATGGGTTGTTTTAGATGGACATATTTCTTGCACATGTATTTAGTGCAGTGATGTAGTCGTATGTACATAATGTCATTGCCCATGACAAATTTAGCAAATTTAAGCAGTGGAATTACATCATCCTTCAGTGTCAAGGCGGAATATAATTTGAAGGCCAGACTGATTTAACCACTTGTATGATGATGGTTATGGCAGCATGCATTCCTGATTATTCAGTCAGTCGCCATCACCCTCTTATAATATCAGACAGAGAATTCTTAACACTGCTGAATACTGAGCCAATCGGGGTCCTCTCATGGATACAGTGTATGAATACCATTTCTGGTGTCCCCCCGCCTGGTGGTGATATTGCTGGAATATTGCTAGGAACTCCATAAAGACATACTCACTCAATCACCCACTCACTCACTCAAACACCCACTCACTCACTCACTCACTCACTCACCCACTCACTCCTCGATTCTGTTGAAGGTGTGTTTGATGTCGACAGTCAGGATGATGTCATGTTAGATGCCCTGATGGCACCAATGGAGCAGCTTCGCTTCCGACTGGACCAACTCCACAATGCAGTGGTCAGCACAGAGGGACAAAACAAGCCCACTGGACAGAGAGGTGACTAATTGCTGGGAGTTTGTGACTGAAGCATGTGAAGTAGTTTCTTGTGATTGTCATGTAAACATACAGAGGATCATTGGGAAAACCAGGGTGATCACCAGGGCTGTCAGGGGTTTTTCAGTATTGACCATACCTCCAGAATTGCAAAAGTATTTTGTCAAAAGTGACAGAATTTCTTTCACTGTATCCATCAGATATTGGGGCGGTGGGGTAGCCTAGTGGTTAAGCATTTGCTCGTCACGTCGAAGTCACGGGTTCGATTCCCCACGTTGGTACAATGCGAAGCACATTGCTGGTGACTCCGTCGTGATATGATGACTTAGACTACCATTTGCCAGACATTATTGTGGAACCCACAGTGGCTGAAGGGGCTAGATCTATAATTTGTGTGTTGATGCATCACTCTGAGAGTGTGGGTTTGAATCCTGGATGGAGCTCAACTAAAAAGTGCTAGAGTCCATACTTCACTGAGACAGCGTTTGAATTTTAACATGATGCTTTTGGCCACTTTGTAAATGGGATTGTGTATTCATAATACAGTATTGCTTCAGTTTCAAATTGCTGACTCACCTGATACTAAAGTACTGTCGGAAATACATGGGACTTGTTGGGTTTTACCTGCGGAGACTTAATATCTATTCCTTCCACAGGAAACTGGCGCACCTTATTGATATTTTCCAAGCAGTTTTAAACCCCACCTTACAAAGTACATGTATGTGTGTTGTGTAGTGTTCTTTTATTGCCAGTGTCCGAGGTGATATCTGTGATCAGTGACAAGCTTGAGGCCTTGTTGAAGACAGGGGCAAACATGAAGACAGATGACACACCAGCTGGTGTGACCATCAACACCGACAAGCCAGACATTTCAGCTGTCCATCTTCAGGTTAGTCCGGGATTCTAGATGGCCAAAATAGTTAGGAGGCACTACTTTATGGGAAGGTGATGTCGCCTAGCCCTTGAAGTCATCATTTCTGACGCAGTACCCAGGTTCGATTCCCAACATGGGTTTCCAGGTTACAATGTGTGATGACATTTCCTTTGTCTGATGTTGCTGGAGTATTGCTGATCCTGTATTGGAATGTTTATTCTCTATAATATGTAAATCTGGTGGAAACAAGCAGCTACATTTACAGTGGAAACCCTCTAAACCGGCATCCGTTGGGACCGTAAAAAATGCTGGTATAGAGAGCATGCCAGTTTAGAGAACTTTTCCCATTTCAACCTGAGAATGATCTTCCGTGTGCCGTAAATTACGACTGAACAACATGTTGATAGTCATCATATTCTTTATTCATCATTAAAGATAACATCCAGTATCATCGCAGTTAAAAACTTCTTATGGTACTGGGCACATATCGGCATCAATCAAAGAAGGGAGTCGGACTTAAACTTGTCACTTATAATGTGATGTACAATGGTATTCATGCTTCTTTGAACTGTTTTAGTATCTCAGCCAGGCTAGCACTATTTTACCAGCGGACAGTCAAAAATTAATTTATTATACAAGTACACACGTGTCACTCACCAATTTACCTCACCTATGAGGCCTAATATTCTCACACTCCTTTTATCAGACAACATCACCTCACCTGAGCTTAATTAAAGATGGTAATCAGTCTGTGTTGTTAAAGACTTCAGCCAATCAGCCAATCAACATCAAGCAAGACACCAGATGCCGGGTTTAGACATCACTCTACTGTACAAACAGTCAATTGGGTGAACTTTGTTAGACTTTCGCTGGGTGTGGAAATGATCATAAATTAACTAGCTGAATTAACCACATTCTAGTGCCGATATTGAGAGCATGCCGGATTGGAGGGCTGCCGGTTTAGGGGGCTTCCACTGTATATTGAAAGTACTGGAGAGATGGGAGTTTAGACTTTTCTCATTTAGATCCATAGCATTACAGACAGGTTTGAGTGGAAGGAAAGCAATCTGAATACATGACATGATTTTATGGATAACAACTTCTATTTATTCATCTAGTGGTTAAAGCGTTGTTCGGCTCGTCACGCCGAAGACCCGGGTTCGAATCCCCACATGGGTACAATGTGTGAAGCCCATTTCTGGTGTCCCCTGCCGTGATATTGCTGGAATATTGCTAAAAGCAGCGTAAAACTAACTCAGTCTGTCAGTCTATTTATTCATCAGGTGAAGGAGCAAGAATTTAGCTCTGAAACATCATATAAAGAATGAAAAGAAGTTGTTATCCATAAAAAGGTGTCATGTATTTCATTTTAGTCCCACATCTAAATGTGGTTCAAAACATCTAAATGCCATTTAAGAACTTCGAATCACATGGGAAAACAATCTGGTTCAAAGGGAGTGTCAAGAGACAGTGTGAGACAGATTACTGATCCTGGTGTAGAACCCAACTCACTCACTAACACACTGTGATAGGGACTGGCTGGTCACCATGTCTCCAGAGTGTATATTGCCGGGAGCAATGTCATCAACATATACTTGGTACAGACTACTGTTGGAGTCCCAGTCACGTGGCTGCTATTTACTGTACTGAGTTGTGTCCCTTGGGGACACATCATTGTGGGTTCGAAATTTGGTTTGTCCTGATTTTATTTCTAAAATTGTCAGCACCAAACCAATTCTCACTTTGAACTTTCTCCCACATCAAGCTGCAATACTCTGACATGCAACCCTTACTTGAATACTGATAAATGCCTAAGGCTTTGTTTGTTTATTATCTGAAAACAGTTTTGTACCATGATATGCTGTTTCATTAATTAAGGTAAAAGGGCACGTTGATTGTAATTTCAGACAGTCATTTTACATTAAGCAATTCCATTGAAAATAAGTCCCTTGTCGTCAACTTCATCTCATGTCCGAAACATCATTCACGAAACTCAGAGCCACCTTGACGTGTGTCTATTTAACCAAATATTTCTCTTTCCAGATTGTGGATTGTTTATTAAACACCATTTGTCGCACAGTGACGGCCGACCTGGGTTCTGGCTGCCCGGTGATGACATGGCTGCCCGAGCTGGTCAAGATGACCTCCCAGCACAGAACCTTACATGCACCGGTCATACAACGGGTGGCCTTCCTGCTGCTGAAGGAGGTAGGATTATATAGATGTGCCATCCATCCAGTGTTTGCGTTTCTGGTATATAGCCGATGCTGTCTGGTAGTGCTGGAGTGATTGGTCAAATAATCGGTCAATCAGTGAGTTGTTCTCGCCTTCATCAGGAATTATTAATGGGCTAATGGATTAATGGATATTCATTAAAAATCAAACGTCAGATCAAAATGTATGTTTCTAATTGTTATGTTTGTTAAACATGACCCAAACAACATGTTAAATGTCACCCAAAACCGTGCCAACATTATCTAGTGCATGCTCTTATGTTGCCGTGTAAGACATGTTAATGTTCTGCAGTTGGTCAACCGATCATTCTGAAGGGATTCCACTTAATAACAGGTCCCCTGCAACCTCAGATTCCTGTTTGTGGGCCGTTGATCAGACTCGGGGACGTGGGTTGTTGCATGTCGTAACACAACAGTGTGGATCGTTGATCAGACTCGGGGACGTGAGTTGTTGCATGTCGTTGTAGCACAACAGTGTGGATCGTTGATCAGACTTGGGGACGTGGGTTGTTGCATGTCGTTGTAACACAACAGTGTGGATCGTTGATCAGACTTCGGGGGCGTGGGTTGTTGCATGTCATAACACAACAGTGTGGAGTCGTTGATCAGACTTCGAGGGGCGTGGATTGTTGCATGTCATTGTTGCCAACAGTGTGGATCGTTGATCAGACTTCGGGGGCGATGGGTTGTTGCATGTCGTTGTAGCACAACAGTGTGGATCGTTGATCAGACTTGGGGGCGTGGGTTGTTGCATGTCGTTGTAGCACAACAGTGTGGATCGTTGATCAGACTTCGGGGATGTTGGTTGTTGCATGTCATTGTAGCACAACAGTGTGGATCTTTGATCAGACTCAGGGGCGTGAGTTGTTGCATGTCGTTGTAGCACAACAGTGTGGATCGATTGATCAGACTTCGAGGGGCGTGGGTTGTTGCATGTCGTTGTAACACAACAGTGTGGGCCATTGCTCACAACATCTATCACTGAATTGTCTGGACCATTCTCAAGTATTCACCGGCTGTTATGCGTAGATCTGGACCCTGTCTTGTGAAAGCTATCGTAGCTCTACACTGTCATAAGTCTATGTTACAGTATAGAAACAACTTCCATGGTTGGTTGTGAGCATGGTTTGATGTCATGTTGTTTGTGTGGGTGTGTTTTGTTTGTTTTGTTGTTAACACTGCACTCCAGCAGTGTTGGTTGTAGTCTGTATATAATGGTGTGCCTTGTGATGTTGGTTGGTGTGTGGTGTGATGTTGGTTGGTGTGTGGTGTGCCTTGTGATGTTGGTTGGTGTGTGGTGTGATGTTGGTTGGTGTGTGGTGTGCCTTGTGATGTTGGTTGGTGTGTGGTGTGCCTTGTGATGTTGGTTGGTGTGTGTGTGCCTTGTGATGTTGGTTGTGTGGTGTGCCTTGTGATGTTGGTTGGTGTGTGGTGTTGTGGTGATGATGGTTGGTTGGTGTGTGGTGTGCCTTGTGATGTTGGTTGGTGTTGGTGGTCTGGTGTGATGTTGGTTGGTGTGTGGTGATGTTGCCTTGTGATGTTGTTGGTGTGTGTGGTGTGTTGATGTTGGTGGTGTGGTGTGCCTTGTGATGTTGGTTGGTGTGTGGTGTGCCTTGTGATGTTGGTTGGTGTGTGGTGTGCCTTGTGATGTTGGTTGGTGTGTGGTGTGCCTTGTGATGTTGGTGTGTGTGTTGGTTGGTGGTGGTGTGCCTTGTGATGTTGGTTGGTGTGTGGTCTGGTGTGATGTTGGTTGGTGTGTGGTGTGCCTTGTGATGTTGGTTGGTGTGTGGTGTGCCTTGTGATGTTGGTGTGAGGTGGTGCCTTGTGATGTTGGTTGGTTGTGTGTGGTCTGGTGTGATGTTGGTTCTTGTGTGGTGTGCCTTGTGATGTTGGTTGGTGTGTGGTGTGCCTTGTGATGTTGGTGTGGTGTGGTGTGCCTTGTGATGTTGGTTGGTGTGTGGTCTGGTGTGATGTTGGTTGTTGTGTGGTGTGCCTTGTGATGTTGGTTGGTGTGGTGTGCCTTGTGATGTTGGTTGGTGTGGGGTGTGCCTTGTGATGCTGTTGGTGTGCTGGTGTGCCTTGTGATGTTGGTTGGTGTGTGGTGCGCCTTGTGATGTTGGTTGGTGTGTGGTGTGTGGTGTGATGTTGGTTGGTGTGTGGTGTGCCTTGTGATGTTGGTGTGTGGTGTGCCTTGTGATGTTGGTTGTTGTGTGGTCTGGTGTGATGTTGGTTGTTGTGTGGTGTGCCTTGTGATGTTGGTTGGTGTGTGGTGTGCCTTGTGATGTTGGTTGGTGTGTGGTGTGCCTTGTGATGTTGGTTGGTGTGTGGTGTGCCTTGTGATGTTGGTTGGTGTGGGGTGTGCCTTGTGATGTTGGTTGGTGTTTGGTGTGGTGTGATGTTGGTTGGTGTGTGGTGTGATGTTGGTTGTTGTGTGGTGTGCCTTGTGATGTTGGATTTGTGTGTGGTGTGCCTTGTGATGCTGGTTGTTGTGTGGTGTGTGGTGATGGTTGGTGTGTGGTGTTGGGTGTGATGTTGGTTGTTGTGTGGTGTGCCTTGTGATGTTGGTTAGTGTGTGGTGTGCCTTGTGATGTTGGTTGGTGTGTGGTGTGCCTTGTGATGTTGGTGTGTGGTGTGCCTTGTGATGTTGGTTGGTGTGTGGTGTGCCTTGTGATGTTGGTTGGTGTGTGGTGTGCCTTGTGATGTTGGTTGGTGTGTGGTGTGCCTTGTGATGTTGGTTGGTGTGTGGTGTGCCTTGTGATGTTGGTTGGTGTAGGGTGTGCCTTGTGATGTTGTTGGTGTGTGTGGTGTGCCTTGTGATGTTGGTTGGTGTGTGGTGTGTTTGTCGTTGATGTTGGTTGGTGTGTGGTGGTGTGCCTTGTGATGTTGGTTGGTGTGTGGTCTGGTGTGATGTTGGTTGTTGGTTGGTGTGCCTTGTGATGTTGGTTGTATGTGTGATGTCTGGTGTGATGTTGGATGTTGGTTGTGTGGGGTGTGCCTTGTGATGTTGGTTGGTGTGTGATGTACCTTGTGATACTGGATGTTATGGGGTGTGCCTTGTGATGTTGGTTAGTGTGTGGTGTGCCTTGTGATGTTGGTTGTTGTGTGGTGTGCCTTGTGATGTTGGTTGTTGTTGGTGTGTGCCTTGTGATGCTGGTTGTTGTTAGGTCTGGTTTGATGTTGGTTGATGTGGGAGTCCTGCAGTGATATTGGTTGTTGTGTGGGTGTGCCTTGTGATGTTGGTTGGTGTGTGAATTGTGATGCCTTGTGATGTTGGTTGTTGGTTGGTGTGCCTTGTGATGTTGGTTGTTGTGTGGTGTGCCTTGGTGATGTTGTTTGTTGTGTGGTGTGCCTTGTGATGCTGGTTGGTTGGTGTGTGTGTGATGTTGGTTGTTGTTTGGTGTCTTCCTGTGATGTTGGTGTGATGTTGGAGTCCAGTGTGTGGTGTGATGTTATTTGTGTGGTGTGCCTTGTGATGTTGGTTGTTATTGTGGTGTGCCTTGTGATGTTGGACGTTTGTATGTGTGGTGATTGGCCTTGCCTTATGATGTTGGTTGGTGTGTGGTTGCCTTGTGATGTTGGTTGTTGTTAGGTCTGCCCGTGATGTTGGTTGATATGGAGTGATGTTTGTTGGTGATATTATGATGTTGTGTGGTGTGCCTTGTGATGTTGGTTGTTGTGTGGTGTGTCCTTGTGATATTGGTTGATGTTTGTGTGGTGTGCCTTGTGATGTTGGTTTGGTGTGGTGTGCCTTGTGATGTTGGTTGGTGTGTGGTGTGCCTTGTGATGTTGGTTGGTTGTGTAGATGGATTGAATGATGCCTTATGATATTGGGTGTGATGTTGGTTGGTGCCTTGTGATGTTGGTTGTTGTGGTGTGATGTTGATATTGGATGTGCCTTGTGATGTTGGTTGTGTGTGTGTAATTGGCCTTGTGATGTGGTGGATGTTGGTGTGGTGCGCTTGTGATGTTGGATGTTGGTTGGTGTGCCTTGTGATGTTGATTTAGTGTGTGGTGTACCTTGTGATGTTGGTTGGTAGATGTTGGTGTAGTGGCCTTGTGATGTTGGTTGTTATGTAGAATTGTGCCTTATGATATTGGTTGGTGTGTGTGATGTTGCCTTGTGATATGGTGTGATTTATTTTGATGTTGGTTGGTATGCCTTGTGATGTTGGTTGTTGTGTGGTATTACCTTGTGATGTTGGTTGGTGTGTGGTGTGATGTTGGTTGTGTGGTATGATGTTGGTGTGTGACCAGATGTTGATGTGCGTGGTTGTTGTGTGCCTTGTGATGTTGGTTGTGTTGTGTGGTGTGCCTTATGATATTGGTTGGTGTGATGTTGGTTGTGTGTGATATTGTGATGTTGGTGGTGTGCCTTGTGATGTTGGTTGTGTGGTGACTGGTGATTGGTGTGATGTTGGTTGATGTTGGTGTGGTGTGCCTTGTGATGTTGGTTGGATGTTGGTTGTGTGGTGTGTGATGTTGGTTGCTGCGTGTGTGATGTTGGTTGGTGCCTTGTGATGTTGGTTGGTGTGTGGTGTGATGTTGGTTGATGTTGGATGTGCCTTGTGATGTTGGTTGTTGTGTGGTGTGCCTTGTGATGTTGGTTTGTTATTGTGTTGGTGGTGTGCCTTGTGATGTTGGTTGATGTGTGGTGTGCCTTGTGATGTTGGTTGGTGGTGTGGTGTTGTGATGGTTGGTGTGTGGTGTGGTGTGATGTTTGGTACTGGGTGTGTGTGGTGTGTCGTTATGATATGATACAGTATTATGGTACTGGTACCTGTGATGCACGGGATGGTGTTTTGTGTGCGCTATGGTATGATAAGGTATTATGTATTGGTGTGTGTATGGGCTTGGTGTGTGTATCACTATGGTATGATAAGTAGGTATTATGGTATTGGGTGGTATGGGATGGTGTGTGTGTCACTATGGTATGATAAGGTATTATGGTATTGGGTGGTGGATGGTGTGTGTATCACTATGGTATGATAAGGTATTACTGTACTGGGTGTTATGGGATGGTATGTGTCGCTATGGTATGATAAGGTATTATGGTACTGGGTGGTATGGGATGGTGTGTGTGTCACTTTGGTATGATAAGGTATTATGGTACTGGGTGTTATGGCATGGTGTGTGTCACTATGGTGTGATAAGGTATTATGGTGCTAGGTGGTATGGGATGGTGTGTGTGTCGCTATTGCATGATAAGGTATTATGGTACTGGGTGGTTTTGTGTGTTTGTCTGATGTTGTTGCGCTATGCTGTGGTGGAATATGCAGTTTTTTTGAAAACAAATGTTGGTTGATATTCCACAGGGCCCAAACCTCAACCAACAACACATGACAGGGTTGTCTGCCCTTGTGTGTCACCTCTCTAGTCTTCAGCACCTGTTTGGTCCCATCACCTGTCACCAAAAGGGAGATAACTCTGGCAGCCTTGTTGATGCCTACTGCATCTTCTCCTACTGAGAACTGGGGAACAACTTCTCTCCACACTGCAGTGAGTTGATGAACCATCTTTCGTAAAGATACAAACAGATCATATACGATTTTATTACTTGGTAATAAAGAGAGGTGACTATTTGATTCATGTAAGTTTTGTTAAGATGCTTCCATGATGATATTACAATAGTTGTAGGTCTGATGTGATACTATCGTTGTGGCATTTTCAAAATGTCCACACCTTGTGTTAGACTGTCAAACATATTTCAGCATGTGATGATGCTTGTCAAACATTTTTAAACATTTAAAGATCTTTTTTAACAGATGATATAAATGTAAAAATTACTTGTGAAAAGGCTTACAGGGTAATGTCCTGTGTATTGGTGGTAAGTCCAGCCAATAAGTCCGCTACTGTCACCTATGTAATGTTCTATCCAGGTTCTGCACCAAATACCTGGAGTATGCATTTCTCGGGTTTCTCAAATCTGACACCAAGTCATCAGAAGAAGATTCTATAGCTGTGATTCCAAGTGAACTTGTTAAAACGGTAAGGAATTTGTTTTGACACAATATTTTGGTTTGTGTTATTTTTCAATTCTGTTCAGTTTGGAATATTCCACAAATTATACAACACTGGCCAAATTACAAGAAATTTCCTTTATTTGTAATCACTGAAATGAGTTTACTTTGCTGTAGTGGTAAATATGACCATATTGTTGTCCTACTGTGTGTTCTCGGTGGAGAGGGGCCCTGGGGTAGCCTAGTGGTTAAAATGTTCTCCCATAGAACCAGGTCGGATTCCCCACATAGGTACAATGTGTAAATCCCATTTCTGGTGTCCCCTGCTATGATATTGCTGGAATTTTGGTAAAAGCAGTGTAAAACTAAACTCACTCACTCACTCTCTATTGATAGTTCTGCCTCCTGTGTTGGCGCCTCCTGCCATCCACACGGACCATGGTTACCTCAGATTCCCAGCATACATCAGCTTACACAGTGTTCAGTTCGGACAAGTACCAACAGCTGCTTGGGGAATCAAAGGTACACTAGTGTGACAGCATGCATACATGCATGCATGCATGCATGCATGCATACATACATACATACATACATACATACATACATACATACATACATACATACATACATACATACATACATACATACATACATACATACATACATACATACATACATACATACATACATACATACATTCATACATTTGTATAGCGCCAATATCCAGTTCAACTGCTCAGAGGCTATTGGAAATGTGGTTGGAAATTACATCTTTGTTTTTAACAGCATTTGGGTCAGTATTGTCCACATGTAGACCTTCTTTGGACATGCGATTTTCATTGTTTCGTTGCCATAGCAACAAATTTAAAAAATTGGTGTTTCCACACCTGTTGATTATGAGACATCAGTACAAACATCCCTGAAGACCCTATGGAAATGGGCTCCTGATGTTAATGTCCCATGTTGAATCATTGTGACATCAGGAACAAACAAGGGATGATGGTACCCTGCAACTGTTCTTGACAAAGGAGCAATGTGACGTATCACGGACACTCACCAACCAGGGTTGATGGTCACCTTTGATGTTCATAGCTTATTCAGTGGGGAGTTGTTTTCTTTGATGTATCCACTGTGCAAGAAATGTTCTAAACTGAATTTGTGCATAAATGTTTTTCTGAGGAAACAGCGACTCTCTTATATAAGTAAAACCCAATGAGATCAGTTTGATATTAAGATTTTGTGTGAGGATGTTTCTATAGGTGGTAGGGTAGCCTAATGGTTAAAGCATCGCTCGTCATTCTGAAGACCCAGGTTTGATTCCCCACATGGGTACAATGTATGATGCCCATTTCTGGTGTCCCTGCTGTGATATTGCTGGAATATTGCTAGAAGCAGTGTAAAACCATACTCACTCACTTCTGTAGCTGATGTATATTTCCAGGTGTCGTTGGAAGACTGGGTCCAGAGAGAATTGAATGTGGATCCAGATCAGGATTGTCTCCCTTACTCTCTGAGGTAACCATGTGTTTAGCACTATATGTGTTTGAAACTGATGACACTCCATGGCATTAGATATCAGCTGTCTGGTAGTCATGATTGTTTTCTGCTTGGATCTCGTGAATTCCACACCTGTCATGAGAAATTATCCCTTGAATGTGTAACCCTAATAATGGCTTTAGCTCTGCGCAGGGCCTAGATTTTCGAAGCTCTCTTTGCACTAAGAGAGTCGTAAGTTAATGTTAATGTATGGCACTTACGACTATCTTAGCGCTAAGAGAGCTTCGAAAATCGGGCCCCTGGTGTGCCCAAACACCTATCACAAACAAAAACTAATACCTGTTGCATGAGACTATAAGGGAGACAAGCAGACACCAATGCAAGTCAAGCAACATTCTCTTGGAACATTCATCCAAAACCTGTTAATATGATTTGATACTTGACACTTGCTCTGAAAAATAGCAGTAAACTTTAAAATTAAACCTTATCACACCTATCTACATTCTACCATGTCTCCAGACAGGACTACTTCACCTGGGCGGTGTACGGACATTTTCTGGCTTCTACAGGCAGACACATGGATGTAGCGACCGTCTGCTCGGTGCTGCTGGATGCTCTAGTCAACAAACACCAACAGTGAGAGAAGATTACTTCATAATCATTATCTTTACCTCATTCATATTTCATGATTGACTTCAACAAACATCATGTTGTAAATTCCTAGTTGTTACCACACAGAAATGATCACTGTGTTAATATAAAGCTCAACTCATTGTGGAACATTTGGGCTTTTCCAAGTGGGTATCATGATTTGACCATAAGGTCAAGGTCAGAGGTTACCTGCCAGTGAGTAAAGGCCTTGACCTTATTTCTTGATAGGAACTGTTGCAAACACCAGTAGTAAATTCCCACATTTCCTGAATGTTTTCACCCATAAAATGATCCATGTTTAAGGCGCTCACTCGTCACTCATAAAATGTTTATCCATTGTTATTTTTTGTAAGTGAGATTATGTAAAATGTGGACATCTTGAATATTTCACAGATTTGTTTATGCAACTGCCTTCCTCCATTATCAGTGAAAGTATTCTACTTCTCTGCATTGTTGTGCAATGGTTGACAAACAAACCTGTTTCTGAAAGAGCTCTCAAGTGATCTCAGCAAAGAATATTCATGATCTCATGAACAGCTTTGTTGCTTTACAAAAGAATATTCATGTTACATCATTGTCAGGCAGTATGAACAGCTATGTTGACTTTGACAACATGTTCAACAGTTTGGTTTTACAGCCTTGCATCCCAACATCCGGCAGGGGACATGAAAGGCTTGGTATTGTCAGGCAGTAGTTGGGTCTGCAAAATATTCATTCAAGGGGAAATGTTGGTCATCTGACTGGCATCATTTGGGATGTCAGATAAAGCTTGAGTTAAAGCAGGTTACATGTCAACATAAACACTTCATTTGTGATCAGGTCCTTGTGTGTGCTGGACAAGCTAGCTGTGTGTAGGCAATATGAAAGAGGGAGACTACACTCTACCAGGCTAGAGTAGTGGGCATCGCCAGAGGTCCCTCTGCACTTCTGCAGGATACTCGCACTCCTCGCACTTCTGCAGGTACTGCACTGCTGCGTTAACAAACCATGGCCAATATGTTTAATTATCCATATCATTATTGTCAACCGAATCAGTGATTTTCTCAAATACATACTGATACCACAACGAAATGTGAAATTTTTGAGGCGTTGGACCTGCCCTATATATATTTCAATGTTATCTTGTCTATTGGCACTTTCATGAGATTTGAATGAAGATTTGTGAGTCCAAAGTTAGGTTATATGACACAAACCAGCGCTGACAAATGGTGATCTTCTGGAGTAATTTTCAAAGTGCCTTATTCCCAACTCACTCACTCATGTGTATGTTTTACCCTGGAAAGTGTCATTATGCTTGTAAATGTCTGAAATGTGGCTGCTAAGTTAGAAACTGTGTCCCAACAAACCTGATTATATGTATACTGCACAGCATGACACTGTCTCATGTTTGCAGATGTTGGTACAACATCTCCCTCCATGCTCAGTTCCCTGGTTGGTTGGCCATCTTGATTCAATAACAGGAAGTGCAGAGTATGCTGGGAAGGTTTCATGTCAAACAGCAATCGTTTCTGTTACCAGGTGTGTGAGCTAGAGTTGTGGATTCAATCAAACCGATGTTGAATTGAAACTGTTTCAATATATGAATATCTACTGAATGAAACAAAAAAACAAACACAGGAAATTCAAGTGTTCATGTTATGTTTTCCAGTTTTCTTCACAAGCTTTGTATCACGCTATGGGGAGGAAATCGGAGAATAAATAAAAGAATACTGCTGTGACGTGGTGTTCTCTTATTTGTTACCCTCAGTATTTTTCTTGCTTATTCGATGATATTGTGTGGGAGTTTTGTTTTGTTGAAGAAAATTTTGCCCAGATAGGTGTGCAATAAGTTGACTAAAGTCTAAATAAATTATACACTGGTTGAACAAGATTTGTTAAATTGATATGAGGCAGCCTTTCTCCTCTGTATCATAATAATAAAGCAGTATTTCATTGTTTATATATGCAGGTATTTAACAATGTCTGCTAGAATGCCATTATTCTGCCCCAAATCTGTAGCAAATGTGATGTAAAACTTTTTTAAAAATTAAAATTATAAATTTTCCAATTCTTGTTATACTACAAACAAAAAATAAGGGAACACCCTAACATTTGATAGTCATATATAAACTGAAACGTGGTGAGATCATTTATACTCTAAGGTAAATGTAACTTTTTGTGTGCTTAATGGGCACTTTAAACGACATGTTGGAACATGCAGTGAAGCAACTGATTCAATATTCGTTGAGTGAATTGAAACAATGAAACATTGTTAAAAACAGCGAAAAACAAGGGTGCTGAAACACACCAGCACATGTTTGATTCAAACGCCCAAACAAACAGCCTCGTAAAAAAAAGACAGATTTCCAATGCAGCTTGACTGCATGTTCCAAACATGTCATTTAAAGCGCCTATTAAGAACACAAAAAGTTGCATTTACCTAAGAGTATAGATGACCTCACCACGTTTCAGTTTATACACGACTATCAAATTTTAGGGTGTTCCCTTATTTTTTAATTGTAGTATATATTGTAATAACTTATTTTATGGATATGTAGATGTGCACTTTAGAACAGCAATCACTTGTACAGATATATCAACACTAGTTATTTGCTTGTTGTCATCAACCAGGAAACAAGTCATGTTTTCATGCTTTACCCATGTATTTCTTGCTAATGATAGGGTTTTCCTGACAACTATTATATTTGTCAGTGAAAATGACATAGTCAGATTGTCAGCATAAACAGTAGTTTATGGCTGTGGTGTAATGTGGTAGTATTTTTATTAATATGTGCAACGATAAATATTGTTTTATAACGCTGACTGATTTGAGTGAAATAACAAACAAAAATCTTAAAAATTACTTTCCAATGGTAATTTGTTTTGTAATCAGGGAAATAGTCCCATTCCTAACATAATTAGCAGTATGAATGTCATTTCAGATGGTCATATTCTTTTGTGGAAGGTCATACTTTATGACATTTTATATGAAACATTTCACGTTTCATGAGTAAGACTGGCCATATATTTTCTCTGTTTGCATTCTCCTGCCCACTCTGAATTTTCATTCCATCATAAAATTATGAATAAGGTTTCTAATCAGAATTATGCCTGTTGCTGTGAAAATTTATGCCCTGATGTGATAAAAACAAATACTATTACCACAGCACCCATTAACAGAACCTGCTTCATCTTCATCTGCATTTTCTAAATGAAACATTGTCTGTGAAGCAAAGCGACTTAATCTACTTCATAAGGGACCATACATAATTTATGGCTAGGGGGTGATGATGATTTTCATGGAGAAGCAAGTACAATGCGAATGACACACCACACACACCCCTTCCCTAAAATTTATGTACAAAGTAAGTGACCCCACCCACCCTGCATGTTGTACAAAATCAATGACACACACACACACACACACACACACACACACCCCTTTCCATAATTTTTAAGCATAATATTTTATTATTTCTCTGTACAAGATTGCTGTCACACACACATACACACACACACACACCTGTCTCTCTCTCTCACACACACTAAAATCATCATCTCTCTCTCTCTCTCTCTCTCTCTCTCTCTCTCTCTCTCTCTCTCTCTCTCTCTCTCTCTCTCTCTCTCTCACTCTCTCACACACACACACACACACACACACACACACACACACACACACACACACACACACACACTGGCCATAAATTATGAACAGTCCCTAAATTAGTTTAATGACTATTAACCAAGTGATCAGGTTGGAGATGAGAAACACCTAAAAAAATATCGATGGTATACTGGTAACTGAATTCCCAACAATTCTATTCTATGTGCAGTTAGCATCGAGGGTGTGGTGTGTTTCAGGTTTGTGGGTCAGCTGCCAGCCTACCTGTGGCTGGTGAACACACTGACGGACACACCCACCTCCCAACATGTAGCAGCATTGGTGAACACCCTGGAACAAAGCCTGGTATTGCTTGTACACTGGATATGTCAATGAAACATGAATAACCACATCAAATAAGCTCCGTTATGAAAGAAATGGGGATATTTTTGATGCATCATGCTAAACAGGAAGTGAGCTGCTGGGGGAAGATGTTTAGTGGTGTTGATTTTCCTCAAACAGTGTACATTCAAGAGGCCATTGACCTTGAGTTTGAGATAAAAAAAAATGTTGAGTGTTTATCGGATATAATTTGTATGTAGTACACAGCTCTGCCTGATGGAGACATGCCTGGTTACCATGGGCAACCGGTGGCAGCAGAAGCTGTGATAACTTTTTCAGAAGCTTGCACTTTTGTATTGATTAGATTTGCATGTTGGGTACAGTTGGTGCTATCCCAAACTTGGCTGTTAGTGTTATTTTCACTTGGATTCAGCACTTTGTTAGCTTTTTCATCATGCCAGCAGAATGGTACTAGATTGAGACTGATTATAAATGATCAGTAATATGAGATAATTCAGATAAAATAGCTTGCAGCTCATTTAGGCTGTATGATTATGAAAACATTATTAGATTTTAACAGAAAACCTGCACTATGAGACAGTTTTGTTTGTTTCATGTATAACACAGTGTCACTGCACTTGAAGTGATTTTCTGGATGTATGGCATAATCAGTTCAGACATTCTAGTGTTTGACATGAGCGTCGATGCCATTACTCATGTTACAAAACCTGACCGCCCATTTCTGGTGTCCCCCGCCGTGATATTGCTGGAATACTGCTGAAAGTGGCGTAAACTAAACTCACTCACTCACTCACTCACTCACTCACTCACTAACTCACTCACTCACTCACACTCACTCACTCATATGATAAGCAGTTGCTGCTGCTGCTGCCGCTGTATTCTTCATTCCTCTGGTTCTTTGAGACAATGGGCTCTGAGTGATGCTGAGACAACTATTCGGAAAGCCTGTCTCTTGTTTTGTGCCACAGTATTACAGATATATGACATGTAGTGTAGTCAAGACAGCAAACTCGTGAAGATCCGGGTTAGAATTGGTATTCAGTAACCCATGCTTGTCGTTAGAAGTCACTAACGGGATCGGGTAGTCAGGCTCGCTGACTTGGTTGACACATGTCATCGTTTCACAGTTGCGTAGATCGATGCTCCTGCTGTTGATCACTGGATTATCTGGTCCAGACTCAATTATTCACAGACCTCTGCCATAGAGCAGGAATATTGCTGAGTGCAGAGTTTAACAACAACCAAATCTAAGTATTTTATGTCATGTCGTTTACACATGAGTGTGCAGCTACAATGGATGGTCTGATTGCCATACTACTTTCCCTTCAGGCTGTCTATGTCAGTGAGAGCAGTTACCTCCCCTGCCAGCTTACACTACACATCACTCAGGTAATTATGTTTGTTGTTCTTGTAAACGTGTACAATATTATATTATAGAGTGCTGTCATTCATAAAAAAAATTCTCGTACGACAGGTTTGTTTTTGGTTCTGCCACATGCCATCGTAGCCAAAAACCATAACATGAAAAGCATAACATTCTTGTATTTGTTGTGGGTCTGTGAATGATTTTTCAGACTGTAAAGTTGTGTCGGTAGGATTTCTGACACATGTTTCACATATCGAGGCATGTTGTCATGATAAAATATTCTGAGTTCCAATATAATCAGAATCTGAGAGTTTCTTTGAGACCCCCGTGAAGATCCAGGTTAGGATTGGTCTTCATCAGCCCATGCTTGTCAAAAGAGGCGACTAACAGGATCAGGTGGTCAGGCTCGCTGACTTGATTGACACATGTCATTGTATCCCAATTGCGTAGCTTGATGCTCATGCTGTTGATCACTGGATTGTTTGGTCCAGACTCGATTATTTACAGACGTCTGCCATAGAGCTGGAATATTGCTGAATGCGGCATTAAACACCAACCAACCATCCTTCCTTGCGCCTGAGGGGCGATGGGGTAGCCTAGTGGTTAAAGCGTTCGCTCGCCACGCCGAACACCCGGGTTCGAATCCCCACATGGGTACAATTTGTGAAGCCCATTTCTGGTGTCCCCCGCCGTGATGTTGCTGGAATATTGCTTAAAGCGGCGTAAAACCAAATTCAGTCAGTCTGTCAGTCCTTGCGCCTGTGGAATCTCATGCAATAGCAATGATTTGACCCTTGTAGACCTGTGTATAAAAGTGCCTTGGTCTGGGAGCGGCCATTTATTGTGTTGGGAAATCGTATTACCGTGCCATAATGTCCCCTGTTGCTGCGGTGCAGGGAGTGAGGGGAACTCAGTGCAGTGCTGCTGTCTCCGATCTGTGCAGACATCTCCCACTTGATGTGTGCACATATCCGCATTGCTTCATATTCATCCAAAGGAGCCACTAAATATAGCTGTGACTCTCACTGTTGACAGTCTGACACAAGATCTGTACAGCACTTAGCCTTATCTCAGTGTGCAGTCACCACAGTATCCGGTATTGCTGATACTTGTATTGGGCTCGCCATCAAAACTACCATATTCAAACTGAAATAACTTCAAAATAGTAATGAGTGAGTGAGTGGGGTTTTAGTGATATTCCTGTTATATCATGCAGAGGACACCAAATATGGACTTCATATATTGTATGGAAGTCGTACAACTGGTAGTCTAGACTGCGGGCTTTGTGTACCCCTCTGATAGGTGTTAATTGGCATGGCTCCCACAGCCGAAAGCTATGATTACACAATGCCATTTAGAAAGTGGTCAAATGTAACATATGTTATATTTGGGATTACACTTTCTTAGTAAAGTACAAATTCTAGTACTTTTTTTGAGTTGAGCCCCATCCGGGATTCGAACCCACACCCTCAGAGTCAGGCACCTAATCGCCAGCACACAAAGTCAGCCGCCTAACCCGCTCCGCTACCGCGACTTCCACAAAAATGGAAGTCGGACAACTGGTAGTCTAGACTGCGGGCTTTGTGTATCCCTCTGATAGGTGGGTGCATTTTTGTTATTTTTCCTTATCCTGACTCATGCTCTTTTGCTTGTCTTCTTCTTCTTGCGAACATAGTGGAACACTTGTATCTCCTTATTTGAAGCTCCCTTCAAAATAAAATCACTAATTGGTACTCACCACGAGTTGCTCCCCTTTGTCTCCCCTGGCGGGAAAGGTGTCGCCACCCTCTGGCCATGTGCTCCACTCTCTCCTTCTTCGCCCAGTGAGCAGGATGTGAGAGCGCCTTGTGTCTCCTTACACACATATCCTTTGATAATCTCTTAGTTTTTACCTCTCATAGGTTACTATAGAGGTATAGCTAGTATCCTTTACTATTTGTATTGATTAATTATCGATTTCTACTGTTTATTCACGTGTATTCGTGGATTGTTCAGCTAGCTTTTACGCTCATGAAAATCTGTAACGATTTGTAGATTACGCTTTTCTGCCTCCGATCCACATGTAATATGCCCTAGTTGTTCTACCGTGCGTTTAATTCACGTTGCAGTTACTGCATTAATTTATCTCATTCTGCATTTAATAAATATCATCTTTGCGCTCTTAAGGCGTGCTGCAGATAGATCACGCAAACAAGGGCAAAACATGGCAGAGAGTCCAGATATTCCATCCAGTCAGCTGCTAGCGATCGACCCTCTCCCGCCTGGTGTTCTGCTAGAGACCCTGCGGCAGAGAGGAACGTGGGACGCAGTCCGTTACCTCGAAGAAACGACCGGCCTCCCCAGACATCCCGTCATTGCAGACTAAGTCTAAGAGGGCCTCATCGTCGTCTCAACGCAGATTGAGGACACCCAGGGCAGCGCAGACTTCCAAAGGGAAATCTACGAAGACAGCAAGAACTTTCTCAGCCGAGATCGTTCCAGCAGCAGAGTTGGGCCTCTACGATGATCAGCCGATAATCATCCCCGACTTACGGCAGAAGAAGCGACCGGTGTCAGCGACTGTGACTTCTGCAGAGATCTCCATGCAGCCTGATGCCTCTACACCGACGCCAGACGCCATTGATGTGAACCCATCGCAGAAAAGACGCCGGCGACTTCGTCACAGATCATCCCAGAAGACATGATGCGGCAGATTATGAACATCATGGAGGACCACTACAAACTGCGCAAGCAGGGTCCGAGCCTTCGCGAAGGCTCCAACGTAGACAGCACCCCAGAGGCACCCCCCGTCAACGTAGCAGCCAAGACGATGTCACCTTTCGCGAAGGAAGTCCCCGCACCACCTTGACGAAGGACCTAGATGTACAGCCTTCAGCGAAGGCCTTCGCTGGCGGGGAGAGATCATCACCATCTTCGATTTCATCTCTAGATATGGACTCAGACCATCAGACATCACGGAAGCCTTCGCGAAGGTCATATCATCGATCCCCGGACCGGACGCTAGAATGAAGCCGGCTGAAGGCATTCGCTGGAAGGACATATGATTCCAGATCTTCATCGCCTAGAAGAACATCGAGGGACTGCCGAAGAGCTTCGCGAAGCTATCAACATTCACCTCACAAGTCTCCGAGAAGATCATCCCATAGACGATCTCCACTCCGTTCATCACCAGGTCGATCACCCATCAGATCTCCACATAGAGCGGCGCACAAGTCAACTAGATCGCCACAAACCTCATCAGATATACAGACAGCTACACGCAGTCCCGAAGAGCATCTACAATTTATTAATGATGATGGTTTTGAGGATGATGGAGGAATCATATTTTCTGATGCAGATACAGTATTGGATGGTCAATAACCTAGATCTCACATCACCATCTAAAAGTGGCAATACAGCTCAGACGTATTTGATGAAGGAAGATGATCCAGATGCAATCACTCTACCCCCGATCGACCCGATTGCGGCAGTGCCACAGAATCTAGATGCAGCTTTCCAGAAAGCTACGAAAGTTCAGATACCACATCTGCCCAACTTTCAAGCCAAGAAGTTCTCCACGCATAACATGGACTCCTTCTACAAGGCCCAGGACATCGATGAGAATTATAAGATCATCAGCGATGTAAAGAACAAGATTTACAAGATGGATGATCGCAAGTTGGCTCATATAGAAACCATGACGAGACGTATGTTCTTTGGGTTAAATAGATCTAGGACGATCAATGAGACTCTTATTACTAGATTCCGGATTCCAATGCACGGAAGATGATAGAATGATTTATTCTGCCTTACTTATGCAAAAGAAAGATCAGCAGTTTTTAACGGATCATCTTACATCTGTTTCAGCAGCACTGACCTTAGCTCGTCGTCAAGGCCTCCTCGCCTCCTGTAATTGGGGGGAGAACTTTACAGCCCCACTTTATACAGCCCCGTGGTCGACAACATCCATCTTTGACGGAGAAATCGACAAAGTCGCCAAGGAAGTCTCTAAGGATTCCAGGGAAGTCCTTATGATTAGATCCATGGACACACTAGCCAGCGTCATTCGTCAGACTTCACAAAGATACTCAGGCAGATCTAAGTTCACGGGCCTACAAAGAGCAAGAGACAGGAAGATAGCCAGCTCTAGAGGTAAAGATTCTTTTCGTCGCCCATATGGCAACTATAGAGGAGGATCAGGAAGAGGCAGGACACCCAGAGGTTCCCGCAATTATAGACGCTGAAACACAGGTTCGGAACGACTGGAGTCTTCCACCCCCAGCCGTTCCAGTACAACCAGCTCAAGTGGGTGGACGCCTCCAACTACACTGGGTAAACTGGGGAATACTGCAAGACCCTTACGTCTCCAACATTCTTCAACACGGATTTCGTATCCCTCTACAGGCCAAGCCTCCGCTGACAATCAAACCCCCCAAGTTCGATTTACATAAGCGTTAACAACTACCAAAGATAAAAGAGGCTGTTTCATCACTCCTATCCAAACAGGCCATAGAAGTAATAGATCAAGCAAACGCCGAACCAGGTTTCTACTCCCCAGTTTTCCTAGTTCCCAAGAAAAACTCCACGGAGAAATACAGACTCATCTACAACATGAGCTTTTTCAACAAGAACTATCTACGAAACCACCGGTTTCGCGCATGATACATTTACCTCAGTTACGCCAGATGATTCGGTCCTATGGACTACATGGGCAGCATAGATCTACAGGATGCCTACTTGCACATCCCCATTCATCCCGATTCCAGGAAATACCCTACGATTTACTCTAGAAGGGCTACATTACCAGTGGAAAGTACTCCCATTCGAATATCATCAGCCCCTGGCTATTCACGAGGATAACGAAACCGATTATCAAATTTCTACATCGTCAAGGGCTACGCAGTGCGCGTTTTACCTCGACGACGGGATACAAGTAGATCAAGATCCACTCGCGTCTCAAACTACAGTTAAATTACATCATAAAGCTACTAACACAACTAGGTTGGTTAGTAAACTTACATAAGTCGGACCTAGTACCATCGCAAGACCTACAGTTCCTAGGTATTCGATTCATCACAAATCGCAACCGTATTATGGTACCAGAAGACCGTTGGCTCAAGATACAACAGACCATTCCACCAGCTCTACTCTCTCCGTTACCACTGCGACAATGGCAGAGCCTACTAGGTCTTCTCACATCAGCCCAAGACATGACTGTCACAGGCAGATTACAGTTACGTCCCCTACAGGTCCTCATCAACGCACATCTCAACGATGTACAACCATTCAGTCTACCGAAACATCTCAGACCACATCTACTATGGTGGACCAAGAAATCGAATGTCTGCGAAGGGATTTGTTTAGCAGAGCAGGAATACAAAACCCATCTGTATGTAGACGCGTCACTCCAAGGTTGGGGAGCTCATCTCACCAACCACACGATATCAGGGTTATGGAATCAGCAAGAATGCAAACTCCATATAAACAGTCTAGAAATGAAAGCTGTAATCAACGCCATTCTACATTGGAGCACATTTCTACAAAATGCGCGCCTAATGATCCATACGACAGTGGCGTTCTACATAAACAAGCAAGGCTCAACGAGATCGATGAACCTTTTGAACCTAAGTTTTCAACTGTTCGATTTAATACAAGATCTAAATCTACATGTCAGAGCAGTGCATTCCGGAGCCAGAAATATACTAGCAGACGCTCTCTCTCGGCCTCATCTACCATCACCGACAGAGTGGATGATCAACAGGGAAATTTTTGCACAGATAATCAAGCAATTAGGAGCGCCGCTAATAGACCTATTCGCCACGCGATTCAACAATCAGCTACCGACATTCGTGGTCACCAGTCCCAGACCCCAAGCTTGGGCAACGGACTCTAAGTCTATCATGGAAGGCCTCAACGCGTGCTGCGTTTTCGCCGCCAGCAATAATACCTCAAGTATTACAGAAAATCAGACAAACACAGAGCCTACAACTCACTTTGGTCGCTACCTACTGGTCGGCCAGAAACGGTTTCCCATACTAATTCAAGAAATCGGTCAACCAACACTGGAGCTACCCAAGCGCTAAACCTGTTAATTCATCCTCACACCAAACAAGTGCACGGAAACCCAGCAATGTTCCAACTACACGTATGGACTGTATACAAATGTGTTTAAACAAGAGAGGATATTCTGCCAGGGCGGCAAAAGCAGTCACGCTTGTTTTACGTTACTCAACTCAGAACTTGTACGACACGACAAGTGGCACAGTTTTCAAAATTATGCAACAAAGAAAGGGTTTACAGCAAGAGAGGCTTCACAACCTCAAGTGGCAGACTATTTGTGTTACCTACGCCAAAACAAACATTTAAAAGGTTCAACGATATCAACATATCTTGCCGCTTTTAGCTCTGTAATCACCATGAGAACGGGTGTCAAATTGACAAGATCTCCAGAGTTACTGGCCTTACTACGAGCTTTCGATTGGAGGACCAAAAGCGAAGTTCCACTTCCAGCTTGGGATCTGAATGTAGTGTTACAACACCTCACGAAAGTGAGGTCTATGAACCTTGGAATCGACAAACTTTGAATTTCTCTCACAGAAAACATTGTTTCTGCTATCGCTAGCCACAGCAGCAAGAATGTCTGAAATTCACGCCTGGATTACGAGAGGATACAGTTTGATGACAATCATAACACAGCGCACTCCTCGGATTAAGATGGGATTTCATCGCGAAAAATCAACTGCCAGGTCAACCAGACAGATTATTCCACATCCCGCGCTTATCCTCTATTCTCGGATCACAAGATACACAAGACCTATCACTGTGTCCGTAAGAGCCAAAGTTTATTTACTTAATTTATCCAAAACAAGGAGAAGATTTCTCAAACGCTTATTCATCCCATTATCGCCTACTTAATCAAACAGAAGTGTCACGGACCACAATATCTATTTGGATAAGGACTGTCATTCTCCGTGCCTACAAGGCAGCAGGCTTGGACCCACCAACAGCATCAAATCCACATGAGATCAGGGCACTGGCCTCTACCCTCGCCTCTACACGGTAACTGTTCCTTGAACACGATTATGGAAGGATGCTATTGGAAATCTAACATGGTATTTGCTAATCACTACCTAAGAGACATCACTACAGAAGATGTCTCTGGCATTCACCATTTCGACCACTGGTCCTCGCCAGCAACTGACAGTCCCTCAGAGAGGCTTAAAATATTATCCTCACAAGATTAATATGTATTTTATACATACTCATCTAGCTTATAACTCTACGGAGTTTTAGGGCTATGTATATATGTTCAGCTTAAGTATTCAACCTTAAGCATATACTTTGATATAGTCAATTTCAGTGCCTCTATCAGAGTCACCTATATATATATATATATAATTTATATGTATTGTTCAATATATTCATAATGTAATTCCCCTTTAATGGCTTTATATAACCTATGGTTTTCTTTATACAGGAAACATCCTAAATCTAAGCCTTCATGAAGTTCCGTGAGGGGATATTACAGTATATCTATACAAAATCACTAATTATAAATCCAAAGTATTCTGTTACCCACCTCCGCTCTGTGAGGATGCTACAAGCAAAAGAGCATGAGTCAGGATAAGGAAAAATATGTAATTTTTAGAGTAAAATTGATATTTTATACTTATCCTGACTCATGAGGTTAGCCCTCCCATCCTCCCCACATAACACTTTGGATTTCCCTGTAAATTCAAGTGTTGGGCTCGCTAAATCAGGAGAGAGTGGAGCACATGGCCAGAGGGTGGCTTACACCTTTCCCCGCCAGGGGAGACAAAGGGGAGCAACTCGTGGTGAGTACCAATTAGTGATTTTATTTTGAAGGGAGCTTCAAATAAGGAGATACAAGTGTTCCACTATGTTCGCAAGAAGAAGAAGACAAGCAAAAGAGCATGAGTCAGGATAAGTATAAAATATCAATTTTACTCTAAAAATGAAATTCAGAACCTGAGGAAATCTAGACTTGCTTCATTTAGGGCTTTAGCATTGCAGGGAGGGCTAGGCAGAAGGAAAATAATATGGTTCAGGGACTGTGCATTCTCTTCCCACAGAGGTTACTTGTCATATCTTCCTACAAACCTCTGTTCTAATACGGCCATATTTCCCGGTTCTCGTAAAATCCCCTAGCGGCAAAAGATCGCAACACGAATTATCTCCCTTCTTTCTATCCAATCAGAACACGTGTTACATCGACTTAGATTCAACTTGACTAACACAAGCAAATGTGGGGCCACAAATATCCCCCATCTGCCGGGGACTTGTGTTGATGTTACACACAAGACGTTTAATGGCTAGCTTGTCCGTTGTCAACGAGGGCAATGGAGACGCCACTGATCCGCCATAACATGACTGAGTTCTGTCTAGAAGAAACGTTTGCGCATCGCGCAGGGGAAGAAGTTTAGTTTTCTCGAAGCATACGGAAATTACCGAGGCCTTGCGAATGATCACTTTTGAAACAACGACGCTGATTGCACAACTAAATCTGATTGCCTCCAATCACAAGTCTTGAACGCTCACACCATGAAAGGGCCGTATTAGAACAGAGGTTACGTAGGAAAATATGACAGGAGTAACCTCTGTGGGAAGAGAATGGGGACTGTGAGACTGACTAAATAAATACTTTAGTCTCCAGTTATGTAAAACATTGCTATACTGAGGTTACTTACCTTGAAATCATATAATGTGAGATTAAAATATTTTTATAGTATCTGGCTACATTATTATTCTGAATTACAAAATGCCACCATCAACATGCCAAGTTCTGTTTTCAGTGCGTCCTCACCCTGCAATCCTGTGGTACGGAAGACGACCTCCTCTGCAACCTCATCTTACACCCACTACTAGCCGTCTCAATACTGGTATGTATTTTGTGGTCGTGTTGACTCCAGGGTAGGACAGGTCCATAGAATGCCCTGCTGGAAGTAAGATGACTTAAAAGAGAATTAGTTTATCACATTGTGGCCGGACTCCTTATGTGTCAACTTACTCTGATGGAGGGTTGTTGCTTGTGTTTCAGACTCTATTATGTAAAGATAAAGTCAAACTCTATTGTCACAAAGCTGGAATAGGCTGTTTGTGTTTGACTTTCTTTATCTGATGTCTGTTCAAGTTTGGATAGTCTGATGATTTAAATAGAGTATCATTCATTGTGTAGTGTTGATAGGTCAGATATTTACAAGTATATTCAAATCTATGCACAATGTTAATACATGATACACTTAATAGAAGTCCCATGAAGATGCTGGGGTAGAATAGGTCTTCAGCAACCCATGTGCTTGCCATAAAAGGCGACTATGCTTGTCGTAAGAGGCGCGACTAACGGGATCGGGTGGTCAGGCTCGCTGACTTGGTTGACACATGTCTTCGGTTCCCAATTGCACAGATCGATGCTCATGCTGTTGATCACTGGATTGTCTGGTCCAGACTCAATTATTTACAGACCGCTGCCATAGAGCAGGAATATTGCTGAGTGCGGCGTTAAACTAAACTCACTCACTCACTCACTTAAAAGAAACCAAGTCACTAAACCGCAGACCCACATACTCAGTCACTCAAAAAATCACTGCCTGCCATACACTTAAAATCTAACCCAGATTCACTCACTCACTCACTCAACCACCATGTTATCTATTTATTCATTTAACCATTGACATTCATTGAAGACTCCACATCACTCACTCACTAACTCACTCACTCACTCTGCCAGGTACACTGGACAACCATCACGTCAGTGCTCCATGCAAGCGGAGTGAAGGGAGACAACTCTGTCTTTGCTGCCTACTTCAGTACTGTAGCCTGGACAGAAAAGTGAGTACCTGAATCTGATATGTTACTCCAGAACCTTCTGCCATATATTAGCTCCCAATCCAGAATCCCTAAAACCAGTAGTGGCAACATTTTTCTGTTTTATTCCTGAGATGTTCATATGTCAAAAAGTGACACATGTATTTAATCCTACAATATATACAATTGACCATTATTTTATCATGGCTGACTTTTTGCTGAAAAGCATGGCTCCTCATCTTCGCCCTGGTATGGTTATTCCCACGCTAAACTGTTCAGTGAGAGAACGGTATAAAAACAATGATTTAACCATATTTAACTCAACATCTTTAACTGACTCGCTTGTCTTTGCACTATCTCACAAGCAGTCATGTCAATCCCAGCAACTGATTCTTACTTGCTGAACCAAAAGTGTTCCAGTTGTCTAAAGTCATCTAGAGTTACATCCCTTTATCATGCCAACAGAAACCTACTGTCTTGTGTTTGAATTCCCGATCTGAAATCTGTATTACTTAGTTCCACATTAAGCTGGCTCGCCTCGAAATACCTGAAAGGAACCGTAAGAAAAACCTGACACACTCGCTCACTGAAGAGTCAATTCAGGCTGAAACTGTGGGATTAGCAGGTGAAATAAGTACAAAGTTTAGTATTTCAACATTATACATGAAACTAACATTATTTCAATTATCTTTTATATGATTTTATAAAAACAGTTATGCTCAAGTATACAGACAAATTCACTCGGATATCTGAATACATTGGCAGTTGGAAACCACGTCCTTGTTAAAAACGTCTTATCAGTCCTAGTCAGATGGGATTGCCTCAGTCTGGGCACAGTGGCCAACAAGAATCAATGAAAAGAGGAAATATGATTTGTAGCTTAAGCTTGATAATTAGGCTTGCAACAATTACAAGGTTTATTAAAAAATATGAAAAGAATTTTGGTTAAATGACTTTGCGTGTTCATCCTTGAAACAAGAAAAATGTCAGATCCTGATCATAAACATAAATAAATTTTGGATAATCGTGACGTTCACTGTATAAAACACTAACTCTAAAATATTTGTAGATCATAGTCCAATGTTATTTCAGTATAGCGCCTTTGAACAGCATATTGGAGTGATACATCAGGGCGAGAATTTATGGATGTCAACTTCTTTATTTCGAGTACCCTTGAAGGTCCGGGTTAGAATAAACCTTCAGTAACCCATGCTTGTCGTAAGAGACGACTAACGGGATCGGGTGGTCAGGCTTGATGGCTTAGTTGATACATGTCATCAGTTCCCAATTGCGCAGGTCGATGCTCATGCTGTTGATCACTGGATTGTCTGGTCCAGACTCGATTATTTACAGACCGCCGTCATATAGCTGGAATATTGCTGAGTGCAGCATAAAAATAAACTCACTCACTCACTGGCTCTTTATTTTGAGAGATTTTCAAAGAGAGTTCATTCACCTGATGATGGAGAAACAATATACTCCGAAACGTCATGTCCCGCAAAATAAAGAAGTTGACATCCATAAATTGTCTCCTTTAATTTCTGGATTAATTTCAGTATGTGCAATGCTTGTTTTATGTGACAGGCATCTGAAATCTACGTACTTGTATTAGATGTGAATGAACTGTACAACAACAGCGAACTGATGAAAGATCAACTAGTTCCTGCATCTTTTGAAGTACACATACTTGTGTTTACCAACTTGTGTTTACAGCTCCTAATTAGACTAATCCATGTGAAATTGTAAGATGTGTGTATGTTTTCGCCCTGGACTTTTTAAAGTGGTCCAGCACTTGCTGTGCTTTGAAAGGAGAGAAACGGAAACCTGAATTAGCCATTTCCACTTAAAGAATTTCAAGAAGTTTGTGATAGCGTACACCAAGTACCTTTATTTATTGCTTCAAGTGACCAGAGTTTGTTATCACCGAATAAACTCAGATGAACATGTTTTGTAAGATTTGCACTTTATGATCACCCTTTTAATATGCTGTGATGTGCTGGAAATATTGTCAAGTGGTAAAGTTCTGAACATAGATTTAATCAAATGTCGGCTGAGTGTGCAGTGTGCTTTTTCAGAAGGATTTAAAGAATGAATATTTATAGAATAATCCTTGGAATATCTTTAACAAAAACAAACTTTCATCTGTGCCAGGTTAATTTCATACATACATACATACAAACATTTGTATAGCGCCGATATCAAGTACAACTGCTCAAAGGCACTTTGTTTTCCCTCGATCATTGGATATTCATCACAAAAGCACATCATATTTTTCAATCTCAACTCCCTGGGGAGCATACAACTCTTGCTACCTACTAGGCGCACCGAGTTAATGTGGCTTTTCCATCCTTACGAGGTACCTATTGACAGCTGGATGGACTGGGACACATAGTCACAGCACTTTGTCCAACTTTACTGCACGTTGCTGTACCCGCAACTAGGAGTTTGCATGTATTCCTGTGGCCACCATCTGGTCATATACCAACACATTTGTGGGTTCTTGTAAGTGCACAGGGTTGTGTACTGTAAACTAGGAGTTGTGACAACACTGAAAGAGTCTGCACACAAAGTTGACTCCAAGGTTTTTTACACCCGGTCACAGGTGGGCTCGATCCCGGCACATCCAAGCTCGCTGGATTACTAGCCTGGCGCCTTAGCCAGCTTGCCCACCGCAGCATTATAACAGCAACATAACAAGTGTCTCTTTACTTGGTTTGTGGATCTGAAGACACTGTAATTTAGAGAAAGGATAAAAAGAAGAAATCAATGTTTGTTAAAAAAAAATCAATTTTGCTATATTCCTGCAGATTTCAGTTAGTGGCATACATTATATGTACCAAATTACATTTCCTGAAAATGAAATACCGATGACTTTCCCAGAGAGTTCATTTAAGTCTGGTATCAAATGTGTTCATTTTGCTTTCAGATGTATTGAGACACAGGCCTTCTGTCCCTGCATTGCTCCAACCTGGTTATGTGGGGCCGCGCTCTTCTCACTGGGACTGCGTGGCCAGGGTAACATGAAAGCTGTGACTGGTGTGCTGTGCCAGTCCAGTGCCGACCAAGAGGTGAGAGTGAGTCTTAGTTGTTGGTGTGATTCAGTGTGTGTAAGTTCCACCCCACCCTTAACAGCACAGCAGGCTCTACTCTCCCACTCAGATACAACTGTAGTATAAATGTTGATATCAGAGCAGACTCCATTCTCATCCAGATACCACTGTAATAATGTTGACAACAGCACAATGGAATCCACTCTCTCACTCAGATGCAACTGTAATACTGTTCAATATGGAACACGTTTTTATGGATAACAACTTCTTTATTTCGGGAGTGCGACGTTTCGATACAGATTCTTGTACCGTTGTCTTGTACCATTGTCAAGCAAGACTACTGCTTGACAACGGTACAAGAATCTGTATCGAAACGTCGCACTCACGAAATAAAGAAGTTGTTATCCATAAAAACGTGTTCCATATTGTACGTCTCAACTTCTAAAAATGCCACTTAAACAAGTTATGTTATAATGTTGACAACAGCACAATGGATTCGATTCCACTCTCTCACTCAGATGTAACTGTAATAATGTTGACATCACATCAGACTGTTCTCTCCCACTCAGATACAACTGTAATAATGTTGACATCACAGACTGTTATCTCCCAGTCAGACAAGACTCCAATAAGACTTTTTTGTCGACATTGTATTTCCTTCTGGGTTATTTTTCTTGTACTCTTCTGCAACACACAGACATAAGACTTAAACATTGGTGGGAGTTCTCCCAGTCTCCGAAGGTTAATAGAGTTTAGTCTTTACATCTTCTGGCCACATTTTTCACTCATCTTCTGAGGAGGTGAGGTAAGACAGTGCATGATCAAACAGCTCGATTTCTCCCACACACTCATCAAGCAAAGCCTGTTTACATTACCTCGATGATAATTTACAACTCTTCAACCTGTGCTGAAGTACACAGCTAATCAACATTGAACATCTACATTTAAAAGAAATTTCTCATTGTATCGCATTATAATTTTTAGGAAGTATTAGCTTAATTAAATGAGATATATGTTTGCTGCTAAGTACTCACTTCTCTGCAGGGGATGTAATATCAATATTCAAGCCCTGTTAAAGTGATAGATTAACACCAGTCGCCAAAGATCATCTCTTTTTATAATTTGTTTTTTACATGTGTTACTAATGAAACTAATGCTACACGTGATATTTTGTCTTGTTAATAAAACATAAGGCTTCAAGTTTGAAAAATGATCAGTTCAACTGGTTCAATAGTATGAATGGCCTTTAGGAAGTTAGTTTGAGTGAAAAATGTTAGAAAAGTGTTTAACTGATCTTTGAGGATCGTGGTTTTTGGGAAGCTAAACAAACTTTAGGTTTCATAACCAAAACCTGAGCTGAATTTGTGTAACTGATTACTTTTTCATTCAAAAAGGAAGACGGGTCAATTGTGCTGAGGATATTGAGTGACTGCAGGGAAAGAAACCTTTCAAAATATCCCACTAGACCACAGGACCATTGAGTGGACAATAATTAGTGGTCCTGTCTGTACTTCACTGGTCCAAAGGGCGGTGGGGTAGCCTAGTGGTTAAAGTGTTTGCTCGTCACGCCGAAGACCCAGGTTCGAATCCCCACATGGGTACATTGTGTGAAGCCCATTTCTGGTGTCCCCCGCCGAGATGTTGCTGGATCATTGCTAAAAGCGGCGTAAAACCAAACTCAGTCAGTCAGTCACTGGTCCAAAACAACATTCAAAGATTTATTTAACTATCGATACAAAATTCACTGGCCACCAGAACCACTGCAAACGTTTCATTTAGTGGTCCTGATGAATTTTTACTAGCCAGGGACCACAGGGCCAGCGTAAATTTCACACAGTTTAAATCGCTTTCTTAGAATTCTGGTTTGGATTTCAAAGATTTTGCCTGAAAAATTAAAAATCAAAACTTAAATTCAGGTGTCCTATATGGATATTGAAAACTGCTATGTTCCATGTAGGTGGATGTTTCCTTTGATGTTGGTGTGAGGGGAAGGTGTGTGTAGCTGAGGGGACCTGCACCGACTTCCATGTGGTGCTGGTTACGCTGAGATGGAACTGTTTCCCTAATTACCACAAACATGTTCTACAAACTGGCAAACATTATTCAATTTATTTTGTAAACAAATGTAACTTTGACTATGTTGGCTTTAAAGTGTATCAAGCATGGTCGGGAGGGAAAAGGTGACTGATCGTTAACACATGTTTTCAGGGTTGGATCCGGTAAAGTGGATATTCTGAAACGTTTTCTAAGAACAATTCTTTGATGCCTTCAATATAAATTTGTCATTCTGGGTACACATTCAGAGTTTGAATGTTTTCAATAAAGTTTAAATGGATTAAATAAATGAAATCCATCAAGATAAATCTGCTATTTTTCACACATCAATTAATGTTTGTTCCAAAATTTCAGATGTTAGTCCATTATATAATTCAATAGTGATTATATATTGGACAAATAAAATGCTAAAGTAAATTTATTTGATGACATCTGAAAGGGTATTTTCTAAAATTTTCCATAAATTTCATTATTCTACTTTTGCATTTTCTATGAAAACAAGGAATATCTAACATTGTAGTTATGGATATATTGACCAGAGGCCCAGATAAGCTGCGTTTCCGGGTAAAATGCGCATAGAAAATTTCCAATTACGCATTGAAAAATAATTGTTGCGTACCAATTACGCATTTAAAATATTAGATACGCAAAAAGTTTAAAACAAATGCGTACAGAATATATTTATAAAAAGAGCTTGCATAATGAAAAAGACATCGATTGATATCAAGTTGTACTGTTAGTATAGGACTAATGTTGTACTGTCAGTATAGGATGAGTGATTTTTTATGAAATCATTTCCATTATATTTAAGTTGGTTTTGATTAGGTATGACATGAGGCAGAACATACCTGCTTAGTAAACTTACTCAATGATATAATATTTAGGTGAGTAAAATGACTGAAATACGCACATATTTGAAAGCAGTGGGTAACGGAAAATGAAATACCCACTCAACAGTCATAATACCCACTCCAAAAATATACAGTGGGTACAGTACCCACATGAGCTAAATCTTATCTGGAGCTCTGTATTGACTTTTCATCTAAGTGAACAGTAATTCACTCAAGATATAATGTTGATTACACACCTATATGTTTCAATTTTTTCATTAAAAAAAAATGTTTCATTGATTAATAGGAATGTGTGTGAAAGCACTACTTTGACGAAGACATCAGGCTCTGGATACAACCGTGCCTGTGACGCAGACGTCACTAGGATTTTAATTGTTTAGAAATGTGTTTGATTGAGAGACAGCCATGTGAGTTGTGTGGAAAATGTCATGTAGTAGAAGTGGAGCTGCTCCCTGTGTGAGGATCAAGGGGGAGGGGGGAGAGGGCAGGGGGGACAGCTAATGAGGGTGTACAGGAAGACAGCTGGTGAGGAAGGACAAGCCATCAGGGCTTGTGCTTACTAACCTCCACAGGATCTTGCATCATTGCATCGACTCTCTGTGGTCAGGTCGAGGTAAATTAGTTCCTGTATAGTAATGTCTGCCATTACAATTTTGATTTATACAGTAAGATGAATTCAGATATAGTTGAATATATTGTAAGATTTGTCCCATTTTGACTGGTGTTGAAATACATTCGCAGATCCAGAGGTGGGTGTGCTCGCATGCATGCGCACACACACACACACACACACACACACACACACCACCCCCTTTCTCAAAACTCTGTATCCGCCCCTGAAATAGCTGTACTGGTAAATAAGTATTCCTCTTTGTCACTAAGTACAATATTGCCTGTTTCAAAGTTAATGTAAATTTTGTGTGTACATTGTTAAGAAATATAACAAAGCTGGAATTTTGACAAGCCTAGATATGAGAAACTGCTTTCAGTGAACAAAACTTTTGCATGAAAGTTTGTAGTTATACTGTATGTAAAGGTGATTTCTAATTATAACAAGCTGTTGTTTGGAACTCTGCTACATCCACACTGGAGGAAGGGATGGTGTATTTTCATTGTTACTGCCATCAGGGAACACTTGGCATGTTGTACGAGATGACTAGTGTGGACTGGGTGGTTACAATGTGTGTCGACTGTGGATCAGGTGGAGGGCATCCATGGTGCTTGTACAGTGACTTGGCTATCTGATCATATGTACCTAGTAGTGGTGTTCCCGATTAATTGAAATAATCGAAGATTGGTGACAGTGACCAAACAACCAAGCAATCGATCACATTTTCTCATAATCGAACACAAGCGATTTTGGAACTACTGTATTTGTGTTTGAAACATTTGACAATGAAACATGTCTAAGTTGTTAGGGCCTGAAAACTTGTTTAATTCTCAGAAAACTCACTTCACTTACTGAAAGTCATGACCTAATATGTCTTGAAGACTCCAGGAAGTTTATGTACAGGAAATTTCGTCATCACTTTAAAGTAGCAAGTTCCATCATGTTATACTTATCTGCAATAACAACCTGAATTGGAAAATCTGAAAAATACCGCTAACCAATTTTTTTTATGATTGCTCATTGGTAATGAACCAGTCATAAATTGTTAGATTTCAACCAATTCCCAACACTAGTACTTAGCATCCCTTGCTTGTCATCAGCCGGCTGAAATAGGAATCACAGTCTGATTTGACCAAATGTGTTTTTTGTGTCTATTGTGTTTGTTGACATGGCATGGAACATCGCTTGTGTTTTCGAACCACGTTTTGCCTGCCCCGGTCTGATTATTGATGCTTCTGAGATGAGGATATTGTTGAATGTGGCTTGAAAAGACATTAGTAGACGATCACCCCAGTACCATATGCTTGCCGTTGGAGATAGGGGCCTGTGGGACTGGTGGTTTACAAACCACGGAAACACTAAAGAGGCCATTTGTAGAGCTATGCTCAGGGATTTAAAGGATGCGAATTCCTGCGTCCTATACTCATAAAAATTGACAATGGACGCAACTAAATTTATTAGAGCGTCCACAGGGATGCAGAAAAAGTCCCAATACTTTTTTGTAAAAAATCCAATCAAGTAACAATAGGTTATCACTGAGTTTGCTACCAGCTGGGTTATGGTAGTATTTGCAATTTAATTACTGTAACAATTAATGTGATGATCATGATACACAATACAATAACAGTATCAATAATAATATATAATTGTCTGGGACCCCCTTTTTGTTGTCCAGGACCCCTGAAAAATAAGAGTATGAGTCCCAGGGACCCTCAAATGCAGGACTCAAGGTAAAGCCCTGTGTGCTTTCTTCTCCCCAGGTGCTGGCTGCCTACTCCGAGCTGAGCTTGCTGTTCCTGGCTGCTGCATATACACACACTGAGATGGAGAAACAGGTGCTCGGTCCATCCACCCAGCTATCTAGCTATCCAGCCATCTACCAATCTTTCCATCCAACCACCAACCCATCCAACCACAATCACATCACATACCTCTCTTCTCATCTCTTCTCCTCTCTTGACATCACTTCTCACCTCACCTTATTATGCTTCTCACCTCACTTCTCCTCTGTTCTCACCTCACTTCACTTCTCCTCTCTTTTCACCTCACCTCTCTCTCTCACCTCACCTCGCTTCTCTGTTCTCACCTCTCCTCTGTTCTCACCTCACTTCACTTCTACTCACTTTTCACCTCACCTCACTTCTCTGTTCTCACCTCACCTTTCCTCTGTTCTCACCTCACTTCACTTCTCTCATTTCACCTCACCTCACATCTCCTCTGTTCTCACCTCACCTCACTTCTCCTCTGTTCTCACCTCTCCTCACTTCTCTGTTCTCACCTTTCCTCTGTTCTCACCTCACCTCACTTCTCTGTTCTCACCTCACTTCATTTCTACTCTCTTTTCACCTCACCCCGCTTCTCTGTTCTCACCTCTCCTCTCTTCTCACCTCACCTCGCTCCTCTGTTCTCCCCTCTTCTCTGTTCTCACCTCACTTCACTTCTCCTCTCTTCTCACCTCACCTCACTTCTCTCTTCTCACCTCACCTCGCTTCTCAATTCTCTTCTCACCTCACCTCACTTCACCTGTCTTCTCACTCACCTCTAGCTTCCACTCTTTTTACCTCACCCCTCTTCTCACCTCACCTCTCTTCTCACCTCACCTCACCTCACCTCACTTCCCTCTTCTCCTTGCTTCCCGCCTCACCTCCCATCTGTCCTCTCCTGACCTTAATTCACAACACCACACTGCAGATTAGGAACAGTCAAATTTATCTCCTAGAGGGATTTCTTGTAAAATATAATCTTGCCAATGACTTGCTGAAAAAAATAATCTAGCTTCACGTGTGCCAAAAAATAAACTGTCCACTTAACGTCTTGATACATGATGTTGGGGTTTTAAAAAAAACATTACCCTATCTTTCCTTCTTGAGAGGACAAAAAATTGCTTGTTTTTAAGGCATGACTAAAAAAATAATCTCACCGAAAAAAACTCCACCAGTGTGGTGTACGAAGCTAACTGGATCCTGAAGGAGTATTATAAGATTTGTGAAGGAAGATGTCCCAGAGAGAAGTATTAGCCCTCAAACCAAATATCTCCCATCTAAGGTTAGTGTCAGGTTTCAAGATATTAGCATTGTGTCGACAGAAGAAGTGCGAGGAAAGCAAATCCACCAACAGTGGATGGTTCCTGCAGTGGAAACACGGGGAAGTGGGGTAGTTGCTGATCACATGCTGACAAGAAAGAAGGGCTACTTTACAGGAAGAACTTGTTCTCTGTTACTTTGACAGCAGTATGGAGCTTGATCTGTTCCTGATATATCTGTCATAATATTTGTACTTACACTGGGCATGAATTCCACACCTATCTTGTTGAGATTGCTGCAGCTGGTTCCATTATGTAATATGTGTTCTATAGATATGACTGATTTCTCAGACAGGAAACTCAATCATTTCCTTAGGACATCCAGAGTGAAAATGTTGTAAATATGAGATGAAATATTATTTACATTGTTATCAGAAATGAACTATTAAAACCTGAAATGTTCTTCCTGATCGGGGCAGTTTGAACATGACGTAAATACATGTTGCAGGGCCTCATTCTGCAAAGTGATCAGGTGATGAATTCTAAGGTTTTTTAGAAGTTATGAATACACAATGCCAGTACTTCACAGATTGTTCATATATTCAGGGGTTGGGTGACTGGATGGTCATATGTTGATGACTCCGACAAATACCCACTAACCCACCCCTCACTATATCACACATGGGTACCTCGTTAGGATGAGAAAGCCGCAATGACTCGGTGCGCCTTGTGGCTGCAAGACTTGTATACTCCCCAGGGAGTTGAGATTGATAATACGATGTGCCGTTGAGATTGACATCCAATGATCGAGGGGGAAATAACAGCGCCTTGAGCATGCACTAGTTGCGTGGGTATGTGCGCTTTATAAATATCCTATGATAAATAATAATAATGGGTACAATGTTTAAGTTTGGAAGTGGTGGTTCTTGGTTTCTTTTGTGATGCTGAGATGACGAAGATAACTGTCACTCCACGAGACAATATCTCTGAGTCTGGCAAACAGCACTCATGCCAGACATTTTGTCTGACCATAATTTGTAAACCATTAAACTGATGGTAATTCAATATATACCACTCAACATTTGCTGAATACCAAAAGAGGTATTTTGAATGGTGTGATCCTAAGATAATGTTGAGTAGTATATGCCTGACAGTCTATTTTGTAGAAAACTGATAATGTGGCATCACAATTATTTTTACATCAGTCAAAGAAAGTTTATATGTGTTTCTTGGTTGGTGTTGATTTGAGACTTGCTTATACACTGAGTAATACCCATCTGTAGGTAACTGTACTATGTTTGTTAGTGATTGTGTTACTTGTGTCTGTCAGTGCCTCACCGATGTCCAGATGTCGCTGACAAGCATCATGGCCACACATCATTATATCCTGGTCTCTCTTGCTGACATGGATCTGTTGGAAACAAGAGTTGCCTCCCATGGGGCAAGGACATTCAGGAAGACTGCCTTAGTCCAGTAAGACCAATACAGTGCACCCTGGTTATAATGCCCCTGGATATAATGCCATATGTCAAAGGTTTTTGGAACAAAAAGTCATTTGCCCTGGTTATAACGCCAATTACACTGGCTGCATGTAGTATAATACCTTAATTGGTTGGTGGTGGCTCAGTGTGTTCACTGTAAGGGACTGTGGGGTAGCCTAGTGGTTAAAGCGTTCGCTCATCACGCCAAAGACTCGGGTTCAATTCCCTACATGGCCGCAATGTGTGAAGCCCATTTCTTGTGTCCCCCGTCGTGATATTGCTGGAATATTGCTAAAAGTGGTGTCAAACCAAACTCACTCACTCACTCACTGTTCCCTGTATATTCAGATGTGTTGCTGATATGCAGCTAAGTGAAGCGCGCCACATGTTCGATACATCTCCCTCCACTCTGACCAGTGCGATACAGACCTACAACCAGGTGTGTCGGCAGTTCGAAGACACCGCCAGGAATCAGGTAACATGACCGGCATCTGGTGGATGACTGGAGGTTATACCAGCAGGGAGCAGCCATCAATAATCAGGGGATGGGATTAATACATATCACAAATGTTTTATAAATGGTGACATAGAAACAGACACAAGTTGCACTGATACATGTAGCTCAAGTTCTGATAATTTACCTGTTACAGAATTTTAGATGACAACTGAAGCATCAGGTACTTATCTTTGATAATCTGGGGATGGGACCCCAGCTGAAAACCAGTGCTGAATAAATGGTCATGTTAAAAAAGTGTCACAAGTTTGTCCTGGTAGATGTAAGTTATCTAAGGGATAGAGTACTTTCTACAACCAAGGCAATGCAGATGCAGATTAAAATCTCACACATTAGGGACTGTTCATAATTTATGGCTTGGGATTTTGGTTTGTTTTTTGGGGTTTTTTTTGTTTGTTTGTTGTTGTTTTTGTTTTTTTTTTTTGTCGAGTTCACCCATTTTGTTCTGGGAAGGAATGGGGGCTCAGCAATTTTGTACACATGTACCAGGGGTCAGCAATTTGTACATAAAAATACTACAACATTATGCTTAAAAAATATGGGAAGGAGGAGGGGGGTCATTGATTTTGTACATGATATGCAGGGGGGTCACTTACTTTGTACATAAATTTTAGGGGGGGGTCATTCACATTGTACATGCTTCTGAATAAAAATCATCACCCCCCTTGCCATTTATTATGAACGGTCCCTTATGTTGGGTATCATATGAGTGGCTAATTGTTCATCAGTGATGTTCAGTAATGACTGGACAAGTTCTCAAGTATAAGTAGTCAATATGATTGTCAGTATTATCATTATCATCATTATCACCAGTGTTAATTAGGTCTTTGATTTATCATGTTGTTTTTTTAATGTAGTTTTGTTCTCTATGTCTGAAGTACATGTTCTTATCTCAGGCCATTTCTCTGCTCCATCTGTCAAAGTGTGCCCAGTTTCTGAAGAATATGCTCAACAGTGTCAGTCTGGAAAGCCTACAGTCAGTGGATCAGGTAACTATACTCATTTATAGGGGTGGGTACTGCAGAGAATTTTCATATTCCGATATATTGCGATGCGAAAGCATATAGTGCGATATGTATTGCAATATATTGCAAGAAGAATTTTCAACAAAAAAAACCTACTTATACTCAAGTTAATGCTTGATTTATAAAGCAAAAACAAAACAAAATCATCATGTTTGATTAAGCTTTAATAAAAACTTTTAATCCTGACAAAATAAAAATGTAAATAATATTTGGCACAAATGAAACAAGGCAATATCCGAAGATTTCCGAGTGTTACGAAGTTTTCCGAATGCATGTCAAAATACCGGTTTTCGATCAGCGTATTGCAATACATATCATTTTCATGTCTGAACCGGTAAACCGGTTATATTGCGCAGCCCTACTCATTTAAAAATGAAAAGTGTTCTCAGATAGAGTTGACACTAGTGTCTCACTCACTCACTCACTCACTCACTCACTCACTGGAGGTAACCCCAGTACTCTATGAGCGGGTATTAGTACCTGGATGTAGCGCTATTTAAATACCCACATTATTATTATTATTATTATTATTACTCATGATAAAGCTGTATTAAGGTAAGAGGAAATAAGATTGATCTGAAAAAGATTATATTCTGAAAGGTATGATCTGATTTTGTGAACATTTGTCAAAGCACTAGCACTGACCTTTCAAAAGTGATATAAATAATCCTGCTTTTGTTTACAGACTGATTTGTCATCTGCTGGCCCTGACTTCCACCATCTTGTCCTGTCTCGACTGAAGGCAAGGAGGAAGTGAATGGGTGACACATTGCTAAGAGGCATCCGAGAGAAATCAGAGAGATAGTGAATAGATCTCACATTGCAAGGAGATGTCCGAGAGAAATCAGAGAGATAGTGAATAGACCTCACATTGCAAGGAGGTGTCCGACGTACAACAGTGAATCTCTGCATTAGTTTGTGATCTTGTGTGATCTGTAAGTTCAACATGAGTTGCCTGGAACGAGAGATGAATCTCCTTATGAAGACAGTTTAATTTTGTCTAAATATACATAAAACTTGATACTCTCCTAGCAAAACACAAGATTAATCTAGTTCAGTCTTGTAAATACTGGTTGTTGAAATAAGAGAAAGGACGACCTGACTTCAACATTCTGGCATATGATCCAGTTGTTAATGATGTGTGTATGTGAAGGTAAGACTTCAAACCCTGTTTAATCTGATATCATCCAAGATAACATCTCCTGGTTAACAAACAATGGGAACAGACTAATGCATATGTATCAACACAGAAGCTTCAATGTAATCTTCGAATACCAAGTTTTCAAAACGAAAGATTTTAAAGGTTCCTGTCTCCATGTTACATCTCCATGTTATCTCCCAGGTTTGAGGCTTGTTTCTGTCACTCACCATATCAGGAGACCTCCCTCAACTAAACTTGTATTTTGGGCTAAAAAACAGTGAACGTCTTTACAGATGTTAAAGGTGAGGCCACCCACTTACACAAGTGATTGCCCAAGGTGTGATATCATTATAGTCAGGAATACCCCATGCTGTCTCAGTAGGCAAGTGTTGTTGCTGAATCTGGCAGCATGAATGTGTACTCTGTCTAAACAGCTGGCTGTCGACAGGATCAGATTGTAATGTATTGCTGTCACTTCAGTTATACTGATGGAAAAAAGAAAAGGAATAAAGCAAAGATGGAGGTTTACTGCTGCGTGCAGTCAAGAGCTTCACATCAAATCACGGCATGGAAAATATATTTTTTGCGTGATCTTAAACACTGCCATGTTATGAAAATATGCCATCCTTCATTTTTGTTCCCAGATATTTCACCAACTGTGTGTTGGAGGATTCCCCTATGTGGATATTGGGTAAAAATTATTTTCAACAACCTGTGCAGTGGGCAGGCTGGGTACTTGGTTGATTGTATGTGAATTTATACCGACTCTTGCCCACAATATTGTTCCCTTGATTGTCTTGTACAGACTTCATTATCTCCAGAAGCTGTCATATAGCTGCAATATTGCTGGAGTAGTATTAGGCAACAAACACCTTATGTTCTTTCTTTACTGTATGGGGTACTGAAGATAATTGTTGAAGTTTTTCATTTTATGCTTAATGATTTCATGATTTGTTTAAATTGTTATATTTTGTACATGCTTACAAAATAATATGTTGCTTCTTACAACCGAATGTTGTTTGTGTTGGCCAATCATATGAAGTAGCAATGAAGTTTCCCATGTCCAGCACCAAGGTTACAACTCTCCCTTGCCCCTGCACATATACCCCACACAGGTACAACTAGTCTGTCCCACAGTCCCTCAACTGCATTGTTTTCTCTTCCGCCCAAAAGGGGGCGGTGGGGTAGCCTAGTGGTTAAAGCATTGGCTCGTCACGCCGAAGACCTGGGTTCGATTCCCCACATGGGCACAATGTGTTAAGCCCATTTCTGGTGTCCCCCGCCGTGATATTGCTGGAATATTGCTAAAAGCGGCGCGTAAAACTAAACTCAGTCAGTCAGTCAGTCTTCCGCCCAACCCTTTCTGCAATGCTAAAGTTCTAAATGAAGGAAGTCTAGGTTTCCTAAGGTTCAGGAATCCCCCTTCCCCTTGGGTCTCCTTTTCAATTTAAAAGGAATTGTTTGTTTCTAACTTTTTAAATATTCAAAGTGCTTGTCTCAGATGCAATTTGTTCAAATACCATATCTCAGGAATGTTGCTGATAAAATTCATACACATATACTCTCATTCACTCACTGAGATGACCACAGATTAAATCAGTTGTGAGTCTGCAAGGCCTTTTAGGGCTCTTTGGAACAGGAAGAAAGCATCTTGTGGTTTTACCAGCTGTTGTGTCCTCTTGAAAGTATATCACCAAATAGGTTCTTCAGAGGGTTAAAAAGAGGAGTCCCTCGTGTGCTCTGATACACATAAGAATTGTCTAGAGCTGTCAAGAACCATGTTGATAAACCAACGAGATGATTGTACGACAGTCACTATGATTCACAAGCAGAACATTTCTCACTGAGGATGCAGTTCTGACATACATACAATCCACGCACTGTTTACATTCATCAGGGAGTTATTCAAGTCCTGTACAGATTCTCTGCATCAGCAACATCTCTGTGATGGGGATGCTCTGCGTATCTCTCCTTATGATAAGCATGCCTCACACCGTGTTGACGAAATGCATGTGCAGTGACATGCACTGGCTCTGACATCATCAATATAACGCCTGATAATGTAAAATGGGTTATATATGTTTACAAGCAGGTCGATCCTTGCCGACGTGAGATAGGGCAATGCTAAAGCAGTGTCGTCCGTTGTTTGAGATTCGGTCTTTAAGAGAGCTTATTCCAGGATACGTCCTAATCTGTATACAAATACCACGGAGACCTGGCTAAGCCCTTCTCATGCCACATGTGTATTGGAGCATATTTCTGCCGGAAAGAGCATCTGGGAGAGCAGAGAGGATTAACGGTTTCTGGAAATGCATCTAATTGGCCATTAATGTGTGCGTCATGGTTTGACTGTGGAGTCGGGGCAACCTCGGGTAGCGGTTTGCCTCTCAGATAGAGAATTGAAATGCAACACCTGTTTAGAAGACAGGCCGTAGCACTACTTAAGAATCGGAAAACCTCATTAAATTGTTTTATAAGGACTTCAGAACTAGAATGGCACTTATTGGTCGTCATATTGGAGACCTCGTAGGTTTTCACTAATGATTCCCTCTGCCAACGTCAGCCAGCTGGAGATGTTCCGTAACATGGGACGTATTGTTTTTTTGTTTGTTGTTTATAAGCCTCACTGATGGATAAGACAGACCCATTAAAATGGAGTCTAGGTCAGGCAACGGTGACTGACGCCATGTGCAACGAATCACGCCGCAGGTTACAATGCCACAGTGAGTGAGTGAGTTTAGTTTTACGTCGCACTCCGCAATATTCCAGCTATATGACAGCGGACTGTAAATAATCCAGTCTGGACCAAGCAATCCAGTGATCAACAGCAACAGACTATGTAATTTCTATAAACATAAAGTGGAAGAAGCACAATAAATTGTAATAAATTAAATCAAATGGATATTAAAAATGTTTGTAGACGAGTGTGGTTTCTATAAACATTCCTTTCCCGAGACGAACATTAGCAAATTGACCGCTGTCTTCACACAATTTGGAGGAAGAATAAAAGAAACATATCGTATATACATGTAATGTTCAATGACGGCTGAAGCAGTGTTTCAGAGAATTAAGTCATTCGACTTTTCAGTAGAGGAAGTGAAATGTTTTAAGGCTTGTTACACACAAATAAATTAGCGGATGAATCCTTTGTTGACCCCTGTACACATGACTGTCTGCACGTACAGACTGCACCCACGCACGCAGAACACTGATGGAGAGAAGGATTGTTTTAACCGACGTATCAGTTTTCCTTGATCAATAATTATTGGAATATTTTAAAACCAAACGAAGGTCATTGCAAATATTTGTATTAGTATATGTATTATTACTCGTTAAAGAAGTTTATAGAATTGTCACTGCTTCTACATGGAGCGTTTGAGCAATAGATACCTTGTCCCTGCAAATCAGACCGGGCGTATACATATACATGTGCCTTACAGGACAATTACGGTATTACAGTCACCTGACGTTGTACCGTCTCCGTGGTCTTGTGGTAAGAGTGTTTGCCCTGTGGGTGGAAGGTCGGTGGTTCAATTCCTGACTGTGTCCAACCAATAAGACGTTAAAGGATTGTACTAGTTAACTTGGCGCTCGACATTACGTGAAAAACAAGGATTGACCGACATGGATTTCTGTGTTCTGTATTTTGTATTTTCTACCGGGGTATACATATTAAACTGAGGCATATCATTGGGCTGTAAAACCGACATCAGTCCACACTAGTTCACACCCGTGAAGATCCAGGTTCGAATTTGTCTTCAGTAACCCAAGCTTATCAGAAGCGACTAACGAGATCGGGTGGTCAGGCTCGCTGACTTGGTTGACACATGGCATTGTATCCGTAGATCGATGCTCATGTTGTTGATCACTGGATTGTCTGGTCCAAACTCGATTATTTATAGACCGCCGCCATAGTACACACGTTTACACACACTCACGCGTGTGCGTTACGGATGAACGTTCCTAATAATTGAAATAATACTGAATGCGAAGTTTAACCCCGTTTCACCCACCTGACAAAGGTTGACGGGAGGAATGCTGTATAAATTTTTTATCAGTTGGCCATCGCTACAGTTGGCCATCGCTACAAACGCATATTTGTGAATGTATTCATTTTCTATGAATCAAATCAAGACGATTTATGACACTAAATTCCAACCCTCAGTTATCCTGTCTCCCAGACAGAATCGGGAATTTCCGGCATGTTTGCCCCAGTGTTAAAGATTATATTACTTATCTTTCTGTTTAGATTGTACATGGATGTCGTAGCCTAGCCTTGCTCCAAGTCTGTACTGAATGATAAGTCAATGGATGTAAGGTCATTCTATCCTTTCAGGAGGCAAGTCTAGAAAAAACAGGAAGTACAATATGACGGGTGCCAGTCGATTGTAGTGACAACGTGATTTAGATAATGTATAAATTAATTTACACTAATAATCATTGCCTTTGATGTCGGCACATGACCAGATTTGTGCAAGTCAAGTCATATGCCGGGTACATGCGTTTAATGATGAATCAAATTATAGTTGTTCTGAATCATACTGAACAGAAATATTGCTTTAACAGTGACACAATGTGTGAATATGTTGTTACTTGATGACCATAGCCAGTATATAAGACTGATGCGTACTGAACCTTAGACTAACGCTTAGTCTCTGAATATATATAATTTTGAGAATGACAAGCAAACCCATTTAAATTGAAAAAGATCCCCTGGGAGACCAGATATCCTGTGCATGAGGAATTCTTGGAGGGCTGGGCAGTGGGGAAAATTAGTCTGTCTCACAGTCCTGGGCCCCGATCCACAAAGAGTTCGTAGCGCTACGACATTCGTAAACCTATGGTAAACTATAGAGTTACGACAGGTCGTAACGTTACGAATGCTTTGTGGATCAGGCCACTGGTCTGTCATACAGACCCTAAAGCAAATATATCCAAGAAAGCCCACGCAAGTCTAGAAAATGTGGCAAGTCTAGATTTCAACACCTTCAGGGTCTCTGAAAATGCAGAAAGTATCTGGACTCCTTTTCATTATATTTAATTTGTTTTACTAATAGTATGAACTTCTGTATACTATGTTCATTTCAGAGACAAGTTGTTAGTTTATCACAGTACCCCAACGACGTTATTTTCGTTCCGCCCAGCCTTTAATGAAGCAAGTCTAACTTCTTTGGGTGGAATTGGGTTTTGTAACTCCGCTGATAATTCCTCTTGCTGCACTTCAATAAGATGTTTTGAGGATACCAACGGCATGTCATTGCTACATAAGAAATATATATAAACATTTGCTGTGTACTTAGACACGTAGGTATATACAGTTTTTAACTAATTAATTTTCAGATTTTTTTAGCAATACTAAAGTGGGGTTGTTTAGTTTATGGATTCAAATATATCAAATGTATCAAATATCAATATCAGAGCATAGGTAAGAGACATACTATTTTCACATGATTAAATATCGAGGTAAAAAACACAGAAATAGGATCAAATTGGATAAGTCACCATACCATCCAAGCATTTCAAAATCTGAAAAAGCCTACACTGCTGGGATACTATACAATCAGACAAGAACTACCGGGGATATTTTCAATAACGGCATCTGATGGACACCCACCCTTCCTAATGTCCCACTGATTAGGTTGAAGAAATTCTGCCAAGGTGGACAGTAGCCCAGTTCGTCACGGTCGAGGGAGCAGGGGCTGACCAGTTTGCAGCTAGGTTGCGTATTAGACTGTTGGCTGGAAACATTAATCGCTCTGGATCAGTCGCCCTTTAATCGTTGGTGTCGCTTCCTAGTCTACATTTCCCCAGGTTCAGTCTGAATCCTCCCTTCTCACTGTTGCTCGTTTTCAAGTTAACATGGAATTATTTGTTTCCATCCAAATGATATATATTTAGAGACTAAGCGTTACTCTTACTGTGCATCTTTACGTGTTCTCCACACACAATCTGGCCTTGATTATCTAAACATTCGACCGTCGTGTCTTCAGCATTGTTCGTGCAGTCAGTA